CTCTTTCAACAGCGATAGAGACTCACCCCCCCCCACTCCCAGCTCTTTTGCAGAATGCATACCCAGCGCTCCCAATGCTTCAAGTGGTTCTTGCACAAATGTTCACCCTCCATCCAAATTGGAGTATACATTCTGTATCATCTGAACAGTTGACAGAAGTGCTTGTCTCCACCCTAAGCGACGATCTGGTTTTCTGCTAAGGAAGCTGGGAAAAGTTGAGGACAGAGATCTGAGCCCCATCTCCTCCAAGCATCTCCCCCCCCATAAGACAGGACAACCATTTGTCTGAAATGGTATAGGGGGTTGGACTAGAAGACCTCCAAGGTCCCTTCCAAGTCTATTATTATTACTACATTATTATAATATTATTGTTCTCACGATCTTCAGCTCTTCAAGAAAGTGAATCCAGGCATACTTGTGTGGGCTTTCTGAGATTGACTTAGCTGGTTGGGCACACCTAATCATTGGGGTTTAGGACTCCGTCCAAAGTATAAGCCAGCCAACTCTGTCCTGCGATAAACCTTGGTCAAACAATTAGGCAAACCAAGCAGTGTGTGAATATCATAGCTGTGGTTTTTGCCCAGTACTTTTTATTTTTCATAATGCTGATGTTATCTTCATCCCAACTGCGATAACACTTCCTGCATTTGACAGCATACGGCCTCTGTGAGTTTACATAATACCACATAAGCTGTTTTAAAAATGTCACAAATGATCTTCGCTTCTTTGGGGGATAAATTGTGTGATATTCCGTACTTCAATCATGCAGAACGGGAAGGAGAAGAATTCAGTGCACATTTCACACATTCTAGGCTGATTTCAGAGCATGGACATGACATGGCGATGTTTCCCTCTGCCTGGGATGAAGGATACCTGAGCACTGATGCAACAGGTGTCAGGAGTCTCTCCTCCCTTTTAGCCTTTTAAAACTTTCCTTTCCCATTTTAAAACCGGTGAGGAAAAAAGTCGGAAAGCCCAACAAATGGCTGAGCTAGCCCAATGTTTTCCAAACTTGGCAAGTTTAAAATGTGGGGGTTCCAATCCCAGAATCCTGGCTGTGGCTGAGTTGAAATCTTCACATCTCAAAGTCGGCAAGTTTGAAAAACGTTGAATAGCTGCTAGGCAAAAGGTTCAAAGCCAAACATGGCAAGGAAGGAGTTTGGTGAGCTATTCTCGGGTAGGAATTCCACCTCACCTTAAAAACATGTTTTTTTGCTGCCTTCGTTTATTTTTCTCATTTTAACTTAAATTTTATTTCGCAGGAAGGTCCTCCCTGAAAGCTGGACTTTTTAACATGTTCATGATTTTTAACATGTTAAAATCAAGAGTGCCCACAACCTCAGAGAGGGCGAGGCCAAATTCCCCCAACGTTCCTGGATTGAGCACAATCACCTCTTGTTATTCATGTGCTGGGTTTTGACAAGTGTTTGATACAACCCAGGGCTGCCCCCCCCCCAAAGGCCTTCTTAGGCATTAAAAAGGAACTGATTCATTTCTACCAGGAAGTGAAGTCCTTCTGCCCTTTTATTTGAATAATCAGCTTTGGAACAAAAGAGCAGAAGAAAAAAGAATGCCCTGTTGACTTTGATAGAAAGCACAAGACTTTTGCATTCAGCAAGTTGTTGAAAAGCAGAGAGGTGCGATAGATTGCGCAAGCCAGGAGGCGAGAGCGTGGCAAAGCTTCTGAATTAAAATGTGGGTTGTCAAACTAAAACTTCTCAAGAGCCACCTTCTCCTAGGGAAAAAATGCTTCTCCCTGGGTGGGTGTCTTTCTCTTCCAGCGTCTGATTATTTCTGGAGGGTTTTGTTTTTCTGGTGAGGTTTCTGAGCTGACTTTAGTTTTGAAAGCAGGCAAGGCTCATTCTGTTGCATCGCTCTCTCTCTCTCTCTTCCAAGCTTCCTTAGATGCCCTTTTCCTAACCTTTTAAGGACCAAGTCATTCCTAAAAGGAGATCCTCCCCAATGTCTTTTTTGGGAACTGGACAGCAGTGGGGACACTCACACAGGCTACAAATTTTGGGAGGTTGCTCAGGTGAAAGATGGGATGTGCAAGGCTGCACCATTGCCCATATTTCCCCCAATCATTGGTCCTTTGAAGCACGCTTCAAAAGCAAATTCTCACTGGATTGATGAAGAGCAGAGGAGAAAAGCCAGGGATGTTTTCAGCCCAAGATTGTTTATTCAGGTTGGCTGAAGGAGTCACAATGGCTGGATCCATGGAGGGAGGGGAGGCTACAAAGACGCTCCTGTCTCTGGCCTGGGAAAGCCTGGGACCTGACAGCCAGGAAGATGTGCTGAAGTCCAGAAAAGAGGGACCGGCCAGCCTTGCCGCAAGCTAAATCTTCCACCTGTTCTTGGAGTCATAGTAGATTTTCTGTAGAACTGCTAACCATTTGACAGTTTTACCTACGCACACTGTCAAGGCACGGCATTTCACAACCGGTGCTGGCTTTGCTAGTGCAAACAACTTTCAGCTGCAAAAATTACTGTGAAGTAACAGGCAGCAATTGTACTTTGCAACACATCCACGTTGGAAAACAAAAAGGCTGACCTTTAGAGCAGAGGTCCCCAACCTTTTGGGCACCAGGGACCAGTTCCATGAAGAGAGGTTTTTCCGTGGACCCCAGGGGGTGTGGTTTTGTGTGCTGCCTGCATTCCACAAATGGGGCTTTGCTTGTTTGTGTGGCCTGGTTGCTGGCATGCCGTGGCCCGGTGCTGGTCCATGGATCAGGGGGTTGGGGACTCCTGCTTTAGAGGCATGCATGGACTAGCCTACCCTGAAGTGGATTGGTTTGAGTCAGAAATTGAGGTCCTCCAGTTGGTCAAGAAATGCCTCCTTTGCAGAACTGAAGGAGGGGAACTGGTTTGAGCAATTGTGGGATTAAAGGAAGAGACGAGGAATGCAAAGCCGCGGCATAAAGGTTTCTAAAAGGGAACTTCCTAAAACAAACTGCACAAATTGTTGGTTTAAAAGCAGCAGTTGGTCTTCAGAGACAATTCTGCCCATTGAAAAGTAGGAGAAACGAAGCCAGAAATTTATTTTCTTGGTTGTTTTTCTAATCCATTTAGATAGTTTTTGAGTTCTGCGATGATGAGGTCACGGCTGCAGGTCTGTACTCATCGCATTCTCTCATGCGTATTAAAATGAAATTGCAGTTGACAGCATTTGGAAGCCACTGGCAAAGTTGAAGCATGACGACTTCACTTGTGCATGTACACACCTAGCAGTGGCAGTTGCGCAATATGGCAGGCTTGATTTAGTCTTTGGGCTTAGTTTATGGGCAGTCTTGGATGCAAAGCCAGGATGTGAGCTAAGCAGGGAGAAGGTGAAATGCACTGAATCATCCCCAAATAATTGGATTTCCTGGAAATAATTAAGGAAATGCGGAGTAAGATCCATCACGGTTGGAGAGATGTGGACGATTCCACACTGAAGTGTTAGAGAGGTCTAAAGGCCTAGTCACAGACTCTCCTGGCCCAAAACACCTGGCGCTGTGATGCCCGTGGAGCAGCTTTGCGTGGGATGGGCAGAAGAGAGGAAGAAAAGACGCAACCTGGCCTTCATTTGGTTTGGAATGCTTTTGCACAGTTCAAAAGTCCCAACACACACACAGACATGCACACACGCTTCCTGTTTTTTTGCAGCTACAACTTGGTCTAGTTGAAGATGCTGGCCTACAAATCAGGCGACAGCGAGTTCTAGTCATGCCTTAGGCATGAAAGCCAGCTGGGTGACTTTGGACCAGATGCCCTCTCAGCCCCCAGTGCCAGGCTCTGGCAACAAGCCAGCTTGTCAAGGTTGGACACCCCTGCCTTAAGGAATTGGGCGGTTTTGCCTTTGTGTGTTTTCTTTTTCAAACCGGGGCTTACAGATTCAGGCCTGATGCGAACCTAACTAACCATGGCTTATTAAAAAGTTAACTAACCTGGATAAGGAAACCACAGCTCAATGGTAGCCAGGTTAGGCAAACTGCCAGGAGGTTTGTACCCGGCTTTTCCTTGCCGCACCATCCAATTCCTTCTGAAAGAGAAGGCTGGTTTCAGGGGGCTTCTCTGGCTGAGCTTCACCTGGGAGCCCCACCAGCTTTCTCTCCTTTGTGGGCTAATTCCCCATTTCAGGGCTCCAGCCCGGAGAGTGAAGCCCTGTGGTGGCAAAGCAAAGCAGATGGGAAGGCAGCTCTACCACTCTGTTTGGCTGGAAACCAATTGGCGGCTTCAGCATTCCTGGCTGTGTGGGTTTGATTCTGTGGCTGCACAACACTCAAGTCAGAGCCCGTTTCCTCCCCCAGGAATCATCTAAAGGAATCATCCAAGAAAGAGGAGAAAAACAGTCAGGCTGCCTGGCTTGACATCTGGGGCCAGATGTTGCTTGGGGGTAAACAGAACAGCAGAATTCCCCTTGCTGACGTCTCTCCCTCACCCCGAGATTAAAAAACACACTTTTCATAACCAGGCATGTATGTTGAGAGGAGAATCCCTTGCCTGCTGCATCCAGTCCTGCAAATATCCAGAAATTTTGCTGAGTGGATTAAAGTCTCTCCAAAGCTGAGCTACCTACGGAGCAGCAAGCATGCCAGCAAAAGTTACTTTCATTTCTCCTTAATTTTTTTTCTCTTCCTCCTTAACATCAGGGAGGCGGAGCAGGGAATGGGGCCTAAGCAATTCAGGGCAAGCCACGAGGAACGTGGGTGGCCATAGGTGCATTTGCAGTTGTTTTAAAACTGGGTCTTGCTAAATAAACCCCAAACCTGCCTAGCTCCAGGCCATACTTTGTTCTCAAGCACAACCACAAAAAAAATTACTGTTTAACCTCACAAACAGACAGTTATGTTCCAACATCTCCCCCCCCCCCTTTAAGCAACCAGAGTAGGCAGGTTGAGCAAACGCAGGAAACGGTGAGAAACCTATTCAGGGCCACGTTCTGTGAGATCCTCTCTACATTTGGGGACCGTCACGGCTTCTGCTTTCTACGGGAGAAGTGGAGGCTTCCAACCTCGAGAGCTGATTACAAAAACAGCTTCCCACTTTATTATATTCCATTGTACAGCTTTACAGGGCAGGATCTGGAGTCCTGCGTTGAGTGGAACAGGGTCTGATCAATGCTTTCGAGGCATGTTTAGCACAACGCAACGAAGGCCGATAGAAAAGAGAAACAGGAGGCACTTTCCCGGTTCAAATAAGTACCCTGTGAGGAAGAGGGATGGAGAGACCCCCGGTTAGGCGCTGGAGGTTCCCCGGTTTCAGGCAGCATTCAGAATATTCCTGAGAAAGGTCTGGCAAGTGTCGAGGAGTTCTCCTGGTCCCCTCCGGAAGCTCCAGGCAGGTTCAGAAGGAGCCGTATCTTTCTCCGGAAGTCCCGCTAATGGCACAGAAGACATGTAGGGTGTTTGGCAACCAGGATGGATGCCCGGGGTCTTCTTGATAGATCTGAAAAGGGAAGCTGAGTTAGCACAGGCCTCTGCATCTCCGAAAAGGAGAAAAACATTTGCTTAACCGAAATGAAAACAGCATGGTGTTACCCCACCTGGTCTTCAGAGCTGTTATGGCAAGGGCAGCATGGAGAAGGAAAGAAAGAGAAGGGAAGTGAAGTTATTGAAGGCATGAGACGGACTCTTCCAGGCCTGGCAGGTGGCTTTCAAAGTCCAGGAGAAGAAAAGAGAAAAGTTTCTGCTCAGGTCGCTTTGGGATCAAAAGGAAGGAAAGCAGCCAAACGGAGGCGTCTCCCTGAGGAGCAACCCAGAAGGAACAGCTGCGTTTCGGCTAGGAAGAAGCAGCTTCTCCAAGGCTGGTTGGCTCCTTCTGGAGGACGTGGCTTGAAAACACATTTATGCAAGATGTGGGGCTGAACACAGTCTGCTCTCTGATTCATCGTGCAGATGCACACACATAAACACACACATGGAAATTGTTTGCTACTTGGAGACTTTGTGTTGGCTTTCCTACTGCTTCGTTGTTCCTCACGGGGTGGAGATTTTGCAAGGCCAGGAGAAGAAATCTGGAGGGTTACAGCACAGGTGTCCAATCTTGGCCACTTTAAGACCTGTGGACTTCAACCCCCGAATTCTCCAGCCAGCTACGCGCTGAAGTCCACAAAGTGGCCAAGGTTGGACACCCAAATTGGCAGCTTCCCAGCCCTTCATCAGATTCTCACTAAGGCCATGATCTGCAACCCACTTCCTTGGCGCTGTCTCCTGGGTGTCTGCTCCTGGCACAATTGATCGTCAACCACCTTTTCTGTCTCGTTCCACAGGTGGGTCCTTGTTCAAGATGCACCCTGAACCTCCTTCAGAATATCATCCGAGCCTTCTCTGGGCTGCTGCTCTGCTAGTTATTAGCCCGGCCATCCTGTTTCCACTCCATCCCTCCTCCAGAGACACGTGAGGGTGGTGTGCAGAGCAATGCCTGATGGGGAATTATGGGAGGGGGTGCCTGCTCTAAAGGCCCCTCACCGAAACATCTGCACAGGACAGCAGTCAGTCTAACCCTGTCCCATTTGGCACCAACTGGCTTTTTCCAAGGATTGTGGGGCTTGGTTCCCTGGCAGACTGCCATACTCTGGGGTTCACTTGTGAAAAACAAGAGCTCCTGCAGAACAAGGGTTTATTTCTTTTCTTCTTTTTTTTTTAAAAAAAGATAGTTTCACAAAGGCCAAAAAATGCTAACTTGCTGGAGGGTCAAAATCATTGCTGATTTCTGTAGCGGGTAATCCCCTGTGCGGTTTTACTCTCGTTCTGTTTTTGCTTTTAATAAGGTTCCACTGCCTCTGTTCGCTCCGAGGGACGGCAGATCCCTTCTAATTTTACAACTGAGATTTTAAGAGGTGAACTCCACCCTCTCTCCTAAATGGCTGCAGATGGCAAAGTGGGGGGAGGGCTAGGAGAACATTGGGAGGCTGCCTGCAAAGCAGATAAGGCCCACCCGTTTCTGAGCAGCTTTTTCAGAGCTAGGAATTCTTGTTGACTTTAGAAGGGTTTGAAAATAAAAACTCTGTGTGGTAGGATTTCTCCTGCACTCATCCCCAGTCAAAAAGCAGATTCTCTCTGCCAGATTTTCTCTGGATTTCAGCCCTAGCATTAATCTTGCAGATTTTCACAGTCCAAGAGAGATTCCTGCTATGTAAGGGGGGGGGGGGAGGAATGAGGCTTTTATTGAGGAATACTGCTGAATGTTTTGGCTATTTAATAATAATAGTAATAATAATAATAATGTTGAAGGGAACTTGGAGGTCATCTAGACCAATCCCCTGCTAAGGCAGGAGACCCTATACCATTTCAGACAAATGGCTGTCCAGTCTCTTCTTAAAAACGTCCAGTATTGGAGCATTCACACCTGCTGGAGGCAGGTGATTCCATTTTTTGGCTCTTTAAATCTAGTTGGTGTGGGGTAGGATTGTAAGGGACTGACAATCAGTGGAGCTATAAATAAATAAATAAATAAATAAATAAATAAATAAATGACTTAAAGGGCCTTGAAGAGGCTCCATCCTATAGCCGTATTTCTAAAACTTAAAACCGGTGGACTTCGACTCCCAAAATTCTGGGAGTTGAAATCTAACCATCTTAAAGTTGCCTGACGTCAGAAACATTCTCTGGGGAATTCCATCATAAACATATTTGTGTATAACTTATTTTTCTAAGCCGCGGAGAGTCACTGAGAGTGAATGGGCAGCCATATAAATTTTCTTAAATAAATAAACATTATGGGATGCCCAGGCAACCGTGTCCGCCTCCCTGTGCCCCCTCCCGTGACTTCATCCCACGGTTTCTGACTCAGACTACCAAAAGTCTTCTAAAAGTGGACAAATCAAAGGAAGCAATTCTGGCCATTTGGGGCTTGGTCACCCCTGGAGATGCCCTGCTGAGCCAGTCCAGTTCCCCCCCCCCCAGAGAAAAAAGCGCATGAGGAAGAAGAGCGGAACTGAAAAACTCTCAACCAGACCAGATCTTTCCCATTTGAATACGGAGCTGTTGCAGAGGGCCTTTGCCCCTTCTATGCAAATCCAGCCACAAGGACTCAGCTGGCAGGGGGGGAGGGCATATAAATGGGAAGGGTTTGGCAGTTCCCCCCCCCATTGCAACAGAGAGATAAGCTGTCCTTGTTTTGATCCTGTTTCCAATGACCTCAAACCTGAAAGTTGTCTGCACTTGACACCTAAGCTCTGAATTCTAGTTTCGTAAGCAGCTGCATACAGGGAACCCCTAACTTACAACCGGGTGTATAACATTGTAAGCTGCTCAGAGTTACCGTGTGGTAAGACAGGTGATTAATAAATTTTATAAACAAATAAATAAATGTATTTAGCGACTTTAAACAGCTCTCAGGGCTGCCCCACCTGGGTCTCACCTGTTCGTGCAGGATTTCCGAGAGCTCTTTCACCATCTCCCTGAAGTTGGACTTCAGCTCCTCGTGATATTCTGCTTGGTCCTCCTTTATCAGCCGTTCATTGAATTCCAGGGCGATTCCACAGGCCTGGATAAACTTCCTGGGGGAAGTGGATTGGGGGGGAGAATGGAAGTGAAGTTGAAAAGCCAAGCTTTTAAATTCAGGGCTGAAGGGCAGATTTGGAAAGGCAAGCAGGACATTGTAGCTGGCCAGATCCTTCTCTGTTCCTGCAGACAGTTAAAACAGTTACAAAACTGCCAGTTTTGGGGGAAAGGAGGAAGAGCACCACTCTGCCAGGAAGGGCACTCCTAAAGGTGGTAGGACTTCCTGAAATTGACGGCTGTTTCTTGACCATCCCTCTGTTCCTTGGAGCAGACAGAGCAGGGCTTGGAGAGAAGAGATGAATTCCCATCTCTGATTCAGGATGAACTGCTCCCCAAAGCCTCTGGGGTTGAAATCCCAGCTGTCCCAACTCCTAGTTCAACCACTTCCTTCTTACTGGTCCTCTAATTTAGAAAGAATTCGCATCTTTTTGGTTACCAGTGACATTCCAGGCCCTAGCTGGTCTAGTGCAGTATTTTTCAACCTTGGGAACTTGAAAATGGGTGGACTTCAACTCCCAGAATTCCCCAGCTAGCCATGTCCTTTCTCTCTCTCTGGAGTGGAGAGATTGCAGAAGAAGGGATTAGAAAAGAATAAGCAGGCATGCAACATCAAAAGGAATGCATGAATACCAGAGAATTCTGGGAGTTCAAGTCCACCCATCTCCAAGCTGCCAGAGGTGAGAAACACTGGTCTAGTGAGAGGATGGCAGTCCAAGGGTCTTGGGGAGGTTACTCGCAGGTTTCTTCATACTTGGGTGTGTGCACCTGGCGTCCTGCCTTTCCACATGCTGTTTCCCTTTGACAAACACAGTTCTGGGAAGAACGCGGCTCCGTATTTGCCTACTTTGCTTGAACAAAATGCAAACAGACACCAATTCAGCTGGGCTAATAAAAAGGAAAGGAGAATGGGTTTGCTCAGCCGGACGTTGAGTGGCCCTTCTTAAGTTTCCTACTTTTAATTTTCCCTTCCCATTTTTAAAAATTATGGAGGGCCCCAAAAGAGATTGTATTTGTACGGGTTTTATCTATCAATATTTACCATATTAAAAATTTAAATTGGTTGTTAAAATAATCATATGGATGCCATTAGATATTAACATAAATAAAGTATGTTTTTTGAAAAAAAAACCCTGTATTTTTAACAAATAAAAAATAATGAGAAGACTGACAGGGTTTTAAAATATGGCAAATTTCTTCAAAATCTGTCAAATAATTTTGATTTTGTAGACCCTGTGAGAGGGTCTTGGGGAGAGCGCCAGAGGTCCTGAGATACACTTGAAGCAATACTGAACTTGAGAAAAATGTAAACTCCTTTCAGCTCCTGTAGCAAAGTTATGTTAGTTTCCTTATCACAGATAGTTCTGGAACAATCATAAAATTCTAACTGGCTTATATAAATAATCAACTGCAGCCCACTGTTAAAAGACCTGAAAGGAAGACAGTCAATAAACCTCAGACCAAGCGATGATAAGGAATGTTTTGCCAACTTTCAGTGGCTGTTAACAGGAAGTGAGAAGCGGCCATTATTACCTGGGGCTGCTTCTTGGGGCGGGGCTCAGAAGCAGCCTTCCCAAATGTAGCTGCAGGACAGATGACTTCCAACTGGAGCTGATGGTTCCTGAGGTAACCCCTTGCATTAAATCCATGAAGGAGTCCAGCATTTTGAATGGTACCCAGAAATTCAGGGGTCTCCGGTGCAGCTGGTCTGCTTTTGGGTGGGAGACCACCTGGAGTTCCATCACACAAGAAAGGTACCAAAGCCCACAATACCAACCTGAACATGTCCTTGAGTTCAGTCACCTTCTTCATGGTATATTTGCTGGGAAGCTTGTCATCCAAGAATGCCCGGGCGTAGGCCAGGGGGCCAGCATTGACCTAATGCCATGTCCCCCACAACAGAGGTACAGTGACAAAGAGATCAGGCAAAGAGAAAGAGAAAAATGAAGAAGCTGGAAGCTGGATCACAGCACAAAAACCCAGGTACTCTGCAGTGCTGGTGATGCTTCAAGGAACTGCCTCAGTGATCTTCAAAGCAACCGTGTCCCTCAGTATCTTTACCCAGCAGCCCTCAAGGGCAGGGAGCAAAGATTCCTCTTTGTACTCCCAGGAACTGGAGGAGCACCAGGGCTTAAAGATAAGCGACTGGAAGCAGAATGCTTAGCTTTCAAAGGCTACATCTAGCCTTTTTTAGGCCCGACCCTGAAATGGCAGGAATCGGTATCCCTGATTTTAAGCAGCCAAGGAATTCTAGGAGCTTCCTGTCCATCCAAAGGAGATTTGGGGTCTTCAGCTACCCCCCTTGCATTAAATCCATGAACACATACACATAGGGCAAACAGCGACACCCCAACAGATCTGCTATGGTTCGTGGAACAGCTGGGGAGGGATGCTCGACCTTTTGGAGGAGTGAAAATTATAGGGTGGGCTTCTTGCCCATAAACCGGAAAGGAAGTGGTTGTAACCCATGATTTATGGCTTATCTATCCATATGTGAATCTTTTGTGGCTTATTCAGCAAACAATGTTTAAACTATTGGTAGTTTACAGTGGAAAGACACCGAGGGCAGACCTAGAAGGAGCTCTCCAGCTAAAAGCTGTCAATTTCCCCTCCCCATTTCCACTCAGGAAAATATTGACTTCCAGGGCAGATGTGCCCAGCTGCTTACTTGCACTGAAACCGCCCCCTGCAGTTTCAACTGCAGCTGGATCATGTCCACCTCAGGTGAAGCACAAAGCTGCTGCAATTCGGAGGTCTTTTCTTTGATTTCATCCGTGGCCACATCAATCGGCTTCAGGTTGACCTGCTGCTCGCTGCTGACGGAGATTCTCTTCTTAACATACGGGAAAGAGTTGCAAGCTAGGAGAAAGACGCAAGCCACAGAAGCGCTGATCAAGAGAATTAAAAGTTCCCCACCTACAAGCTCTAGCTCAAAAATAAATCTCTGCTTCTGAGAAAGGAAGCACAGGAAGACCCAAGAAGACTCCCTAATTGGGCCTGTTTGCTCTAATTGAATCTCATTTGTCTTCAGGCAAAGAAAGAAAAGCTGTCTCAACAGACCAGAAATATTACAACAATGCAGACAAGGAAATTCAAAGTCTATGCAAACTTTTCTATAGAGTGAATAAAATGCCCAGAGGTCAAGATTAGGCAACTTTTTGAGTGATGACTCCCTCTGATTGTGCAAGATTGCTAAATCTCCTAATTTTGGGGCATCTCACTCTCCAGTGTTCAAGATGATGGAAGCCTTGAGAAACTGTGTGAGGGCTTGCTGGGCACTCACAAAAGGTTTGTGACTTGACCTCAGTCATGGTTCAAAAGGTCTGTAAGAAGAACTGTTAGTTCTTCTTACATGCCTCTTCCCACATGGAGTCAGAATACTTGGGGGCAAATCAAGACAGTGTTCTCATTTGAGCAGAAATGACCAGGCTATAATTGTCCTCCTTTGGACATTATAGGAAGGCCCAGCTCTGTGGGACAGGCTCCAATGCTGGAAAAGGTAGAAGGAAAGAGGATGATCAGGAGATGAAGACTGCAGTGCCAATGGATACATCGTTGGAAGACCTGAAGGACCAGATTAGAGACAGATGTTCCTGGAGAAAACCTCTGTAGTACCACCTTAGTAGTCAGGTAACAACTTGATGGGCTATAATCAGTTACTGGATTTCTGGCTTTGGGGACATTGAGATGAAATAAGGACCACCTCCTCTGAAGAAGAGATTGTCTTCTCCTAGTTCTGAGTGGTTTGCTCTTGAGATAAATAATGTATTTATTGGCCTCCATTTCAACAATGGTAGGTGGTCTTTGTTGTGAGCTTCAGCAGTTGCAAAGCCTGTTTTCATATTTATATAACTAGATGGAGTCTTTATTTTTCAACCAAAAGAATTAGGGAGATGTGCAATCAGTCTCTGAATTGCTTAACATAAAAAACCCATATACACCTATGCACCAACACACACTCACTGGTGAGGATGGTCCGCCTCTTGCACTGCTCCTCCACGTTTCCATGCTTCTTCCCAGACAAGGTGTACGGGGTCTCAAAGACAAACTGGTTGATGTTGTGGTTCCTTTCAAACTCCGTCTTCCTCTCTGAAAGCTCCTTCTCATCAAAAAATGGCTTCAGGTAAGTCACCTGAATGTGAGCGTACTTGGCATCTAGATCTTTAGGGTTCACCTGCAGTAAGAAAATGGAAAGTTCAGACAACCCAGTTGGATATTCAGGGATCTCTGGCCAAGAGACCAACTTTTCCGGATCCCAAGCCCAGGACAGCCATTCGGGAACTTCTTGAGATGATGACAACTGGAAGGAAGTTCCCCACCATGACCCTGCAGCAAGGAGGGGTGTATGGGGCATCCCAAAGTTCCCCCACTTGTCTCTTTGACTCAACACTGGGGCAGGCACCCTAAAGCCAGCCCAAGGTTCAGCAGCATCCTTTGAGCAAAGGGGACCTTTTATGGATCACAGCAAATCAGGTCTTCCTTGACAAAACTGCTCTAAGTCACCCAGTTCACCCAGCAAACGCTTAGGTGAGACTCACCCAAATTGGCCATTCACCTGAATAAGTCAAAACTCAGAAGCCCAGAGTTGGAAATGCCGCCTGAGGCCATCTAGCCCAGCACCTTGCCTGGGGTAGGAAGCCTAATTAAAGCCTCCCAGGAGAATGACTGTCCAGATTCTCTTTGAATACATGCAGCAAAAGAAAGTCCAGGAAGGCTCTTGGTAATGCGGCTCTACTCTGCCAGAATCCGAGCTCTCCTTTCAGATTACCTTGTTGGAATCCTGGATAATTTTGACACTTTCAGCTCCAAATTTCTCTCCGTAGAGTTTCAGCAGCCGGAAGGATATCTCCGAGAGGCCGGTTAATTTGGGCTCCTTGTAGATGTACTCTTTCCCATCCTCTTCTTCAAAGAAAGCCTGCAATGATTCAAGCAGCTGATTTTTAGAAAGGATTTGGGGAGGGGGACGAGAACCACTCACTTCCACAAGGACACATCAGAAGGGACGAACAAGGAACCCAGTTCAAGGGATTTGGCTTTTCTTTTGTTCAAGTTGATAGTCCTCATAGACTCAAAACGGTGTGCCTCCAAAGAGACTGAATTTGCAGAAATCAGAGCAAGAACTGAGTAAGTCAGAGATGGCAAACGATGGCCCCTTTATGACTTGTGGACTTCAACTCCCAGAATTCCTGAGCTAGCCATGGAATAAGAAGTGTACTGGATGAGGAAGGGAGACACGACAGACAGACAGCAACATGAAACAGAATAGTGAAAAACAGATATAGACCCGAGTTCTATTTGGTAATTGGAAGAGTCGTGGTGGCACAGTGGTTAGAATGCGGTATTGCAGGCTAACTCTGCCCACTGCCAAGAGTTCAATCCTGACCGGCTCATAAGTACGAACCAGCTGCCAAGTGTCTCAATTCTGATCACATGTCCATAGGAGACGCTGCAATGGACATTAAGTGTGAAAAACAGCCACAAGTCACTTTTTCCAATGCCCTTGTAACTTTGAATGGTCACTAAATAAACTGTTGTAAGTCGAGGACTGCCTGCATAAGTCTAAGTCCCAGTGCTACTATAATAAAGGTGAAACAGCCAAGTGTCGGCCTTTGGCTTCCCTTCCACAGTCCGGTTGCCTGATTCTGCTATGGGCGCCTGGTGCAAGGCCATCCCTTCCCACCCACCAGGCTCCCCCCTGGGGCTGCTCTGGCTCTGCTGGGCTCTCCGCACAGCTGGCCCCACAACGCCTCTCGAATGAACTTGGTGCTCAGCTTCCTTCTGCTTTCACTGCCTTCTTTAGAGAATGGGCGAGTTGTTTATTTTATGGGAGATTGTTTTATGTGGCTTTCATGCCCTGTGTTGGACTCCTTCAGGAGGAAGGCCGGCATAAAGAAAGGAAACAGTAAAAAATGAATCACTAGTTACACAAATAAAGTCAAATATAGAATATAGAAGGAGGTCGTATAACCCACCCCCCTGCTCAGGCAGGAAACCCTGTACCATTTTAGACAAGTGGTTGCCCAATCTCTTCTTAAAAACTTCCAGGAAAAGGAAAGAGAAGGAAGAAGGGAGAAGGAGAAGAAGGAACGGAAAGGAAGGATAAAGTAAAGAAAATATAAAGGGAAGTAAAATAAAAATAGTAATAACAGTAAATGCAGGCCATATTTTAAGACCAACAAAACACAAAACACTCTCAAGGGAAAAGGGCTTTTCAAAATAAAACATTGATCAATGATGCCTCTCAAGAAAATCACAAATTTTGTCCGTCTTGCGTGCTCAGTCTCAGAAGACGGGGAACAGCTGGGGAAGTAAGAGACACACAGAAATTGCCAGGAAACTGAAGAACTGGAATGTCCTAACCTCAAGCGAAATGGATTTAATGCTAAGAATTACATATGTCATTTCTAATTATGAAATGTGAATAATATCCAAGGAGGCTGAGAATAATTGAAATGTGGAGTTTTGAGGTGAATCTGGAGAGTCCTTTGGGGCCACAAAAGATCAGAACTTGATAACTTCTCGAAAGTCTGGGACAGCCTCTCCTAGAGATAGTCAAAAGAAAAACCTTATGTCCGTGTTTTTCAGGATTGACAACTTTAAGACCTGTGGACTACAGCTCCCACAATTCTCCAGCCAGCAGGAATTCTGGGCATTGAAGTCCACACGTCTTAGACTTGCCATGTCTGAAAAAGATTGCCTTAGACAGTCCCTCCAATCAAGAAAATGGAACTGATTGAGCCACACATTGGAGACAACTGCTCCAGAGAAAGGAGGATTCTAGAAAGCACTGGGGGGGGGGGAGAGGGGAGGGAGGGAGGAAGGAGAAACTGGAGATGCCAAAGACACCCTTGGAGGAGGAACAGACAAAGCAGTATCTTTGTAAGGGTGGCAAGGAAGTGGATGCCAACTGAAGGGAATCGAAGAAGAAACCAGGATACACAAAAAGGCTACTTTAAGGTCAAAACCCCCAGGATGGATTGACTCTCTGTGTCCATCATCCAAGCCATCCATGGGCTCACCTGTCCATAGAACGCGACTCGGAAGTAGGTGCCCAGGAGCCTCCTTTTGCTCTGCATCACCTCCAGGATTTTACTGTACGCCCTATGGAGTGTTCGGTACACCTGGGTCAGTTTCTGTAATGGGCAGAGGGAGTAACCTTGAGGAACAGGAGGAAGAGCAGCGAGCAAGGCAACAATCAGATAAAAGAAAATTGAGTCCGGAGCAGAACTGTAATCCAAGGAAGCGTCTTGGAGCAGACCTGCCCTAGCACTGATGTTGTTACCTAGTTTGGGCAATGCAAACTAGGTAAGGCAAATACCTAGTCTGCAAGAAAACAAGCAAGCTCAGAGCGCCCCCAGGACCCCTCATTTCGATCCTGAACTAAAAATATTTGCTTTTATTGAGACCGGCCCTAATTCTTGTGACGATAAAGACGGGGGGGGGGGGGAAAGCAGATTCAGGCTGCAAAATTCTATTTTTATAATCTTATAAAAGTAGGATTAGCATGCATGACTTGGGTTTTCTAGCCTGGTCTACCTTAAAAGGCTGACCGTGAGGCTGACAGTTTCTGAAAATATAAAGAAGGCCAGAATGCTTTGGGGGAGCTGGAGGCCAATCCAGGAGACCCTCCCCTGCTGTCCCCAACCCCTGGGCTGTGCGCTTCAGTCTCTGGGTCAACAATTTTTCTCCTGCTGGCTAATTGGGTTTTTCTCTTTCTCCCTGCAGGATGCGGCAGAAATGCTTGCGCCAGCTTTCAATTGGCTACCTCAAACTCGCGCCGCTTCTCGTAGATGGGGATGATCATCTTGGCGACCTCGGCGATGACCTCGTATCTCTCGGCTTTCCACAAGCCTTCGACACACTGCTCCAGCAACTCCACCAGCACCTCCTGTGAGTTGCACAAGAAAACAGTGGATCACCAGAGAGCCAGTTGGGTCTTGCGGTCGAGGCACCCAGCTAGAGAGCGGAAGACTCTAAGCCCAGATGATCCTGCTGAAGTGGGTTGCAAGCACAACATGTTTTGATGATCTGAGTCGTTGAGTAACTTCTGGGACAGGACAAGAACGAGACGTGGCAGGCAGTCCAGAAAGTTCCTTGTTGCAGTGACAGAGAATAAAAGACTCTTGAAAGTCTGTCCCCGTTTCTCTCTGTCCAGTGTTACACCAAACAAAATAGAGGTGTGGTTGTGTGGAGTTTCTTTCCCACACTCCCCTCTGTCTCCAACTTCATCTTCAAGTCTACCCTTAAGGTCATATTCATGCCTCCTGCAAAATCTGATCTACTTTCCTTTACAGCAACTGAGATCAAAGCTGCAAAGGTTTAGAGAATCCAACTTTCTCCATCTGACACCTTGCCCTGAGCCACTCTGACTACAGCTCCCAGCATTCCCACCCTCCTTTGGCTATGCTAGCTGGGAATTCTGAGGGCTGGAGTCCCAATCATGGATGCCAAAGGGGCAGAAGGCTGCCTGAAACAGAGAAGGAGCACATGTGAGAAGCAGTTGCAGGTGTTGGGAAGGAAGGAAGGGAGGGAGGAAGGAAGGAAGGAAGGAAGGAAGGAAGGAAGGAAGGAAGGAAGGAAGGAAGGAAAAAGATAAGGAGGGAAGGAAGGAAAAAGATGAAGGAAGGAAGGAAGGAAGGAAGGAAGGAGGAAGGAAGGAAGGAAGGCAGGAAGGGTAGTGGAGAGCCCACCTCTTCAGGATCTGCAAAAGTGACTCTTGGCCCTTTTATCTCCTCTTTGGACCACCTGAACAGCCTTGGGACCCACCAAGCAGCTGGGCTGGGCTGCCCTGGCTGGGCAATCCATTAGCTTGCAAAAGAAAAACCGGTTAGGCCAGTTGAGCCCTTTCACCATTTTTGTTTACCTACTAAGGTCCTGGTGCAGGGCTTTCCCAGCTTCTCAATGCAGCTTATCACAATGGGAAAGCACTGGAGGAAGTCAGGCCTTGGCTTGAATAATGAGTCTGGAGAGATGCAGAAGGCCTCAAGCAAAAGCCAATTAAAAAAAACGCTTGATATTTCCTGTCTCAAAGGAAATCAAGAAATAGCTTTCCATTTTCGGAGCCCTGACATGGTTTGGTAGACTTCCACTCTCCATCTGGCCCTTCAGGAGCTTCCCTTACCTCAGTGTAATGGACATCCATCATCCCGGCATCTTCCTTCATTGCACCTTCTTCGTCAATGTTGGGTGTAATTTTCCTGAAAGATGAGCATCCGGTAGGGAATAACTCTACAGACGGGAGGCAAGAAAGAGAGAAGGCCTTGGAGATCAGTGGGAGGTTGAAACGGCCACTTGCTTTCATTTTTCATTCCTGACAAGTTGGACCCCTTCATGTCCGTCACCTTATTCCTTGGGACAGAATCCACAGCAAGGATTTTACATTCCAAAACTGAGTTCTAGCCCTTATTAAAATGGAAAACAGGACCTAAAACAAGAAGTAGGCATCAGCCTAAGGTTTTGGAGACCAGATTCTAACACCATGGGCAGGCGGTACCTCAACTGAGGGGTGGGCTAAGCTTTGGCTGAGCAACTCTGCCTTTTGAATTTCAGCAAGTAGGTTCCCCTTTTGCGGGAACTGTAGCATGCTTATATTTTTGAGGTGGAAAAGAGGACAGCCTGAGGCTTGGACGAATGTCTGCAGAAGCAGAAAATGTGGAAAGGAGAAGGAAGGAGGAGATCAACCTGAGTGTAAAATTCATCTCTGTCTGCTGAACTTCCACGGAGATTGTCTCCAGCTGATAAGCAGCCAGTCTTGCCTCAGGTTGACACCCCAGTTCAGGACCCCCGCTTCCTGAGAAAGAACCTTGATGTTCAAGAATCCCAGGCTAATGACCGGATACAACCCAATGATTTGATGCAATCAGAGTTCAGCTTCTCGGAAAGCTTGTAGGAAGGCAGGAAAATAAATGCATAAAAAATGAAGGATGATCGGAGGGTGAAAATCTGGGTTTCTCTGAACAAAATTAAGCTCTGTTGAAACGAAGCCAGGCTCTGACTTTCTAAGAAGTTGGTTGAAGCATTTTTATCCACCATCAAAAATCTGCTGTCAGATTAAACTACCCTTGGAAGTCCATCTGAATGCAGGACAGCAACCAGCCACAAACCACAGCAGGACTTAGTTCCTTTTTTTAGTTCAAATCTATGACAAGTTTGGCCAGGTCAGCTGATACCAACAAATTCCACTTCTTGGTTTTAAAAAATAAAAGATGCAAAAGATATAAACAACACTCCCAAAACAGAAGCCCCAAGCAAGCAACTGGAATAGCCTAATAAATCTTGTAGCGCATTCACATTTCACCGGTTTCTCTTGCTCCTTCTGTCCATAAGGCTTAACCTGAGACACCCCCCCCCACAAATGTATCAGAATTGTAACTCCCAGTATTCCCATTCAGCCAGCGACCACATGTACTGGGAATTCTGGTTGTTGAGGAACTTCTGAAGACCTTTTGCCAAGAAAAGACTGCTGGTTTTCTTCTGCTTTCATGCTGCTCTCTGCAGATAAATTAATTGATGCAGTTATATTATTTCCTAAACACTCTGCCTAAGTTGCTGCTTCCAGGTCACCCAACACGTTTATTTGGGGGGGAAACCCCCTGCAGAGGAATACATATCAACTCAACACACAACCAGCAGAATCTCCGACAATGCGAGCGTCAGCCATTCTTCCCAGGCTGAGAGCGAGAGAGTCCGGGAAGGGACTTGCCCAGCGTCTTCTTCCTGCTTCATCTGGGGAGAAAGTTCCTGGGAGCCCTGCTGGGCGGGAGGCTGTTTTAGGAGAGCTTTGACTCGGCTTTTGTTGTTGAGGTTGAGCTTTTACCAGCTTTTTCATATAAAGGTTGTCTTCAAACTTACCACCATTTCTTTAGGGGTCCTTCAACGTTACAACAGCACTGAAAAAAGTGACTTATGAATGTGTTTCACACACACACACACAGCAGCATCCCATGGTCATGTGATCAAAATTTGGATGCTTGGCATGTACTTAACCACCAACTCGCTTAACGACCATCTGGTTGCAATTTTGGCCTCAGTAGCAGTTGTGAGCCAAGGACCAACTGTGCCCCTGCTCGGGGCTGCCAAGAGCGCCAGAAGCACAGAAACGGACTGACTTTTTTGGCCAGCTACCCAGAGCCCTGAAGGATTGTCGCACCAGACCGCCAAGGCACCATCTCTGCTTTCAGGAGCGAAAACGAGACATTTCCCATCAGAGCAGCTTTGCAGAACAGGAAGGAAGACTTTCATAATGAGTTCTCTGCCCCCCCACCCCCCCAGGCCTTCCCCACATCAAACACTCACTTTTTCTGTGAAGGAACTCTGCCACCAAAGCTGCAACGTGAACGTAGCACATGGCTGCCTGTGAGACGAGAGCAAAGGTGAGCGCCAGGCCCTTGGCACTTCCCGGACGTGGTCAAAGCGCCTGGCGTTGGCCAAGCTCATTACCTCCGAGAAGTCCCCATTTTTGATGTGGATCTTGGCCATGCTGTCCAGCCAAGTCTTTCGCAGCTCCGGAGTGCTGGCGTAAGACTTGGCCAAGCTGAAGTGCAGGTCAACCAGCATTTCGGGGTCCTTCTCATGTTCTTTCATCTGTGCAGTGGCCATTAGCACCGTGCGGATCCTCTTGGTCAGATCTTTGACTTCGGAAGGGAACGTGGTCGCCTGCCACAGAAGAGGACACCGCTCTGAAAGGGATCCTTTCTCCCATCTCCCTTCTCCGGGCGGTTCCTCCAGCAACTGAACCGCAGAGGAGGGACCACTCGGTAAAGAGGAGGCCCAGGGACTCTTCCCTGTGAGCCCTGGCTGGGTGGGCTTCTCTCCTTCCCCCATGTGAAATCTTCCTCTACTAAACCAAGCCCACCTTCACTGGCCGGTCGCTGTTGGCAAAGTTATTGATAATTGAGAGCGATTCCTGGAAGCGTGAGCTGCCACTGAGCGCCACATCGGCTACCTGCTGGCTCACCGCAATAATGATCTAGCAGAGAAACAGAGACATTTTTCAAAGTTAGGGAAGTGACAAGCTGTGTTCTGGAACGCCAGAGAATCCCAGTTGACCCATACAGTAACGACTTCGGATGTCAAGCCTCCTGGGAACCTAAATATTTGTCCACTACAACTTGTCTGCTAATTGCATCACCCTACAAACAGCCTCCCATGGAAATCAGATGATCTGATTGGGTTTTGATTCCACAGGGAAGAATCATTCTTTATCTCAAAGGAGTCTCACTTACTTGTGAATATCTCTGCGTGAGTCGCTGTTCTGGGCTGAACTTGCATTTAGTAAGCACCCCGCAAACACAGACAGTAAAATTCGGTCCCAGACAAGAGGTGGAAATTCCCATGGACCCATGATATTTCCTTGGTGATCCAAGCCACCAGTTTTCTTGCCCACAAATCACAAATGTGTCAACCAAGGAAGGCACAAAACATGGCAACTAACACAGCACTCAACTCTGGAGAAACAGCAGGATGAATTCTCAGATCTAGGACATCATGGAAGATGTTTTTAAAAAAGGAGCCACGTTTCTCAAGAGGATGCAATTTTGGTGAGATCATTGACACCATAGACAAGATTGTCCAATTTCCCCTCTTGCTTATTTCAAAAGGTAGAATGCATTCTGGTGTGTTTTCCCATCAAAAGTGTGTGTGTGGGGGGGAAGACCATGGGCCTGCTTTACAGCTTTCAAAAAGGCTGCAAACTGGGTTCAGAGGACCAACTTCAGCCCTGGAGTCTTGTCCTGCATTGAAATGGCATGTGAGAATGACCTTGGGAGATGCTGCCTAGAGAATGGTCAGGTAAGAGAGACAGCCTGGCCCACGGCTGCACAACAGGTGGGGAAGAGACCCAGAAGGGACCCTCCCTAGTTTCTCAGGCTGTATAGCAGACAGGAGGAGGTCATGTTCTTTCAGACTGCCAAGATTCTGTTACTTAGCCGTATAAGAAGGTAGAATTAGCTCATCTGGTCAAGTTTCCTGTCTGGTCCACCAGGTAAGGCTGACCTACAGCTTCTGGGGTCAAGCAGGGGATCGAAGTGAAGTACAGACAATACAGAGATCAAGAAACAAGTGAGTCCTTCTGCTTTTCTTCCTCCTCACTACTTCAACCTTCCTCACATTACATCGAGATGCATATTTCCCAGGAAGCTGGAGGGAACACATCTTGAAATAGCCTGCTATCCATCAAGCTGGTCTGATGTGATACTTATTAAATCTTTAAGGTAAAGGCTTAGGGACAAAAAGGGAGAAATACTTCTACGCACCCCTTTCCTCACCCTCTCAGAGTGAGGAAGGAGATTGTGAAGAAACAACTGTCAAGAGAGCCAGAAAAGGTCTCATGATTGTGCAAGGCCAACTTGTTTTCTTCCTCTTTTACTGACCTGGAGGTGAGTCCTTAAGAAGGTCTTCCGCTTGGTGAACTCAAAGTTGTTCCTCATGAGGAGATAGAGGAGGGCAGAGGCCTCGCTCCGCGTGGAGCTGAGCTTGGACGTGCAGCACTTCAGGACCTCATAGCAGAAGGCAGAGCACATGTTCACCCTCCCCTTGAAGAAGGCTGCGGGGAACTGGAGAGGCGAGAGGAGGAGGAGAAGGGAGTGCCACCTGGGGAAGGGGAGGCCCTGGGCCACCTTGTAAGGGCCTCTCCTTCAAACCTGCACCAGTGCCACCTTCTTGCTATCATGTAGAAGGAGGCTCGGGGTTGGCAGACCCTGAGACGCTTCAGGCTTGCAGGATCCATCTGGGTCGGTCACTGGACCAGAGGTTTGGTCTCCCCAGCTTTCGGATTCATGCTGGAGCCCATTCCCAGGGAGAACTTCTCTCCCTCTAGTAGACTCTGCTGGAGAGAGGTTCCCTCAGGGTGGGCACCAGTCCGAAAGTGACCGACCCAGATTGGATCCTGCAATGTTATCCTGGGACCCGTAGATCGGCCTTTGTTCACGAGCTTCAGGCTTCACTAAATTGACATACAAAAGGCAGAAGTTGTGAATAAGGACACCTCACCCCCCCCCCCCAGTGAAAGCACCGAAAGGAGGGACGGAGAGATAAGACAAAATCAGCTTGGTTGAAATTAGTATTTTGCACAGAACACAGAATAGTATATTATGAGGCCATGCCCAAAACAGGTATTTTACCACCGCTGTAAATAGAGCAGGACAAAGTGTCTTTGTGGGGGTGCTTGGAGACTTCCTGCCCCTTTTTCCTACCCTCCGACATGCTTGGTAAAAATCCAGGACATTTTTTTAAAAAAAATAAATAAATAAACCTGACCATAAAGAGGAAACAGATGCCTCTTGGTTCACTGCCTAGAATTGGGGAAGTTATCTATTTTGATACGAGCAGCGAGGGAAGCGAGAGACCAGAAAGATGAATGGGGCAGCCATGAAGGACTCCATCTCTAATTCGCTCACCTTGTTGATAAAAGCCCTCAGAGAGGCAAAGACGTGCTTCAGGGCTCCCTCCGACTGCCCGTTTTTGAGGAAGGCCAGATGGACATCAAACACCTTTTTCATCAGCGGGTTGTGCCCATCATTGTTCGAAAGCTGATTCTAGGGAGAAGTGGATCCAGGTGACTTTGGGTGGAAAATCCCCAAAGGGGCTCAAGGTACAGAGAATTTGCTGGGTTTTTTTTTAAAATGCCGGGCAAATCGCCAAGCTGGAATGGCCCCATCAAAGCAGCCTCAAACAACTGCAGAATGTTTGGGATAGGCAGTCCTCGTTTAGTGACCACAACTGGGACTGGCAACTTGATTGTTAAGTGAGACAGTCCCTCAGTGAAACCCCGACAGGGCTTATGGTCTGACTTCAGCTCTTCTTTGCATTACAGACCAAGAAATATTGCAAAAGCAAGGATTGGTCGCAAAGTTATTTTTTTTATCACCAAAAGTAGCTGCAAATGGTTGTTAAATGAGGCAGTTGCTAAATGAGAACTAAGACCTCAAGAGTAAGAGGGCAAATTCAATGAGGATCACAAAAGTTGGTCCAAGAAAAATTCAAAGCTGAAGGCTCAATCAACCCAGAGCCCAGAAGTGTCCGAGTCCAGCTCTTACAAGGAGGACCTTCAACAGAAAGACGAGGGGCCGAGACGGACCTTGAAGCACTGGGTGAAGAAGGTGATGGTGTCCAGCACCGTCAAGGTCACTTCTGTGGCCAGGTTGCCTTCCAGCAGGGCCTGGTGGACAATGTCTGCCTCTGACGTGCCGGCACCTGAGATTAGAAAGCAAAGACTGACCTCTCTCATCCTCACCTGTCAAGGAAGAAGCGGCCGGGCAGAGCTTGTTCGGGGGCCGCAAAGCCGCAGGCCATCCCTGCTCGGTCAGCCTTGAGCTCCGGTGTCTGCAAGAGCAGAAGACGACCAACCGAGGAGATCCCTGAGGGCCACCAGCCTTCTGAGGGCCACCGGCCTTCTGCGGGCCACCTACTGTGGTTCAGGGTGAAGGAGCTGTCCAGGCTGCTCAGGTGCTGAAGCCGGGCCTGCATGGTGCTTGCCCGGCTGCGGAGGGCGGGCATCGTCTGGGATTTCCGGTCAATGCTCGCATGTTTGGACAGCCACCCGTCCTGGACCCTGCAGCGGAGAGATTTGCAGCTCAGCCCTCCAGGCAGGGGTCCAAATGCACCCCAAACCACACTGGGGGCAACTACAGGACCCGCCGTGGTCTGCAACTTGGTGGCAGGCAGGACAGCCTCTCTCCCTGATCGTCTGGCCTGGGGCCCTGAAGGAGGAGCTGTGGCCGGACGGGGTTGGTACCCTAACAGAGATGGCACCTCACCTTTCTCCTTCAAACCCTGGGTTTTTGTTCATTTGTTCTGCTTTTTGTAGTTTTATGTTTTTATGTTTATAATTGTTGAATGTTTGTTTTACCTTGAGATAAGCTGTTAAGAGTTGCCTGAACCATCAGATGGGCAGTAAATAAATTTGATAAAGAGGCTTGCACTGTCCACAGGACCCAGCTGGTATATCCTCTGAATAAACAGCCCTTCCACCCCCACCCCCCATTCCCCACAATACCTGGCAATGTTCCTTTTCCCCGCATATCGGAAGTGGAATAGACAGACTCTGCAGCGGGAGAGAGAAAGTAATTAATCAAGGTTAGGATCCAATGTGGCTTCTATGGCTTGCTGGCACCACTCACACTGATTCCTCTGACACCCTGGGTCATATTTTGGGATTGTGACCTCAATGGCTGTGAAGCTGCAGCCGGCTTTCCATGAAAGGCCAAAAGATGTTGAGAGGTGCCAAATTAGAAAACACAAAGGAAACTACTTTTAAGAGACTTCTTTTATAAAGAAGCTCAAAAGCAGCTCTGGAAAAATGTGCATTTAACAGTGCGGGAAAACATAGCTGTTTTCATTTTCCCCCTTTTTGAAAACTGTGTTCTGTAAGCTATTTTACATCTACAGGGGGACCGGCACACATTCTCCAGCAAAGAAAAATGCAGATTGGGACACTTGCTAATCGCCTGCCTGCAGGGAACTTGCTTTTCAGTATTAGAAAAACATCCAGACCAGTGTTTCTCGACCTTGGCAACTTGAAAATGGGTAGACTTCAATTCCCAGAATTCCTCAGCCAGCTATGCTATGGAATTCTGTGAGCTGAAGTCCACTCATCTTCAAGTTGTCAAGGTTGAAAAACATTGAGATCTGGAACTTCTTTCAGAACCTTTGGGCTGTGACCATCCCATGAACTGCCGAAAGCCTTGTCCACAGGCAAAATGTGGCCATCGTGAATTCTTCTTCCTAGAAGTTTCAACAGGTGATCCTTTTTCCTCCCTTGAATCTCTTAAAAAAGGGTAGACGTAAACTTACTCTAGCAGAACCAAGACATTCATCAGCTCCTGGGGAGATATTTTGTTCCAGTAGGACAACAAGGTGTCTGCAATTGAAAGAAATCTGCTTAAGATGTCTCTCGTCATCCCTCCAGCTCCCCCAGCCCAGGAAACGGGAAGGGAGAAGGCTGACCTTCCGACAGCATCTTGACAATGTAAAGGTAGCAGACAAGGAGGCTGCGGATCTCGTACTGGTCCAGCCGCCCATAATGGGAGAGGCTGCTGCGCGTGGAACTTTTCCGCATCTGTGTTGACTGAGAGGAGCCAAAAAAAAAAAAAAAAAGAGGTGGGAAGGGTGAGGAGGGGAGGAGTCCAGGAAAATAAGGGTATTAGCTTAATCTTTAAATATGGCCAGCTGGTTCTTCCCCCAGTCTAGCAGTCCTTGAATTATGACTGATCACTTAGAGACTGTTCAAAATTCTGACAGACCCCCCCCTCCAAAGATACCTATGACCCAATTCCGAAGTTCTGATGGCTGCCCCCTCCCTGCGGTCAAAGGATCACATGTTGGGTGCTCAGCAGCTGGCCATGTATGGCATCCTGTAGTTGTATAACCCTGTTTTATCATATCTTTGCAGAAAACCAGCATTTGCTGCCGTTTTTGGCAAAACGCGCCCCATAGTGAATGACGGGACTCTCAAGAGCTTATAGAGCCATGCTGTCTGTTCCCCAACCTCTCTGGAAATCTGAAAGAGCAACTTTACATTTTCAGTGGAGGAAGGCTGATCGGGGGAGCCGGCAGTTCCTTCAGATGTGAGGGACCCCCGCGAGTCTTCCCTTTTCAAAAAAAGGCCATTCTGGAAGCCGGCACCAAAAACTGCAAGAAAAGAGCCGAAGGCTTGCAACCAGTTGCATCAGAATGGGGGTCCCTGGCCACAGCTTGACCCAGAACGAGGACCGTCCCAATAGGGCCGTCCATGGGACTCCCTGCTAGTCAGTGGGGTTGGCCTTGAGACCCCCAACTCTGAATCCCAGCAAGGTCTCCTTCCAGACTCAAAACTCTTCCACTAACTAGAAGACCTCCAAGGTCCCTTCCAACTCTGTCCTTCTGTTATTCACCCCTAGCCCCTGGCCAAGATTAGGGAGTGGGGGAAGAGTTCACACCCAGCATTCCTTACGTGAGTCTTTATCAACAATGAGGCTTGACCTGTTGGAAGGGGAGGTGAAGCTGCTCAGGAACTCATCCCGTGAGGCCTGCTCAGAAGACAAAGGAAAGGGTTCAGGGAAGGGGGCAACTTGGCTCAAAGTCAAGTTCATGAGAATAACTAGAAGACGAGATGAGCTGGACATCTTGCAATAGTTTGCCTCTGGATGCTGGGAAGAGTTAAAATCCACCCAGGTTAAAGTTCCTAAGCTTGGGAAATATTGGACTAGAACTAGGGATCTCTAAGCCTGGCAACATTAAGATTTGTGGACTTCAGAATTCTGGGAGTTGGAAGTCCACAAGTCTCAAAGTTGACAAGTTTGGAGAGCCCTGGACTAGATTAGATGACTTTTCTGGTCCTGCTGGCCTCCTGGGTAAACCAGGTAGGAATCACAACTTGATCAGCCAATTCTGTTTTATTGTGAGGCTACCTTGACAGAATCTTGCAAGTCTGAAAGCACAGAAGGACTCCTTGTCTCCTTAGCGTCCGAGAGAGATGGTTCCTTCCGAGCCCCTTGCCCCGCTTAGTAGACATCTGTGGTCTCTGTCCTCTCTCATGAGACCATTCCCTTGGCTGCGCCTCTGGACTCCGTGTCCCAGGCTCTTCCCCACATATCATCACAGGCGCCTTCCAACTTTATGTTTCGAGGCTCACCATTTTTCTAAAGTTCTCCCTCCCAGCAGGCTCTGTGTGTGTGAACCGGGGAGCCTGTCCCACATCTGGAACGATGCAACTTCCTGCTTCGAAATTACTCACAGAGGTGGACATGGGTGTGCACGAGTACAAGATGCCCGGGCTGGCCAACCTCTGGACGTTTTCCAAAAGGATTCCGGCAAGCGGTAAATACAGCTGGGCTATTTTGGCTTGCAGGTTCTGCAAGAAAGGAGGGGTGAATGAACCCCCAGATAAGAGGTGGCAAGACGAAAAGAAAGCTTTGAATCTGTGGGGTCACACCGAAAGCAAAGAGGGAGAGGTCTGACCTTTTCTTCTGCCAGAAGAAGCATCAGCTTTGGGGGTTATTTTTCACTCTGGCCACTGGAAGGATACAATCAACCGGAGTGCTGATTTACCCCCAGCCTATCAAGTACTTAGGAGGTGAGGGCCAATGGTTTAATAGACAGCCATCAACACCCCAATCAGCAACCAGGCACCACATAAATACTACACACAGAGCAGCACATGCTCTGCTAGAAAGAAGCTTCCCGAGGATGGGGGCTCCAGCAGAGTCCAAAAGCTTGGAAGACAAAAGCTGTAGTCTCGGTAACCCACCCAGATTGGATCCTGCCACATCCCTTTATCTCCAGCCCTCTACGCAAATCTGCACACAGTTGTTCTTATTATTGTTATTTGTTAGATTCCTAGCTCGTCTTTCCTGCAGGAGTCAAGGATCCCCCCCCCCTTGGGAAGGTGGACTTCCCAGGCTGGGACTGGACTGGGTCCTGGGCCTCTCAGCCCCCCACCCCTTCACTGCAGCTCTAACATTGCAGTAGCCAGATGCAAAGATGTATCCTGTCACCATTTTTAAACCAGGAATGGTAGCTATTGCTTGTATAGTCTGTTGAAAACTGAAATTGAAAGCCAGGAGATGTCATTGTCTTCCCTTTTAATATTTTTAGAAATTTATGCTGCAATCAAGCGAGTCTTTCCAGGAGATCAGGGTTACTTGCAAACTCCAAGCGGAGTTGCCTCTGTCCTCACAAGAGCCCTAACTTGCTAGCTCAGGGGAGGTGGGAGGAGAGAGACAGAGAGAGCCCTCCCCAGCTGTCTCTTTGCAGCTGAGGGCAGAGCTTCAGAGTAACCTCCTTTATTATTTACTTAAGGCATCAAACCTCTTCTGGTTGGCACAGCAAATAACTGCAAAAATAGCACCAAGGAAAAAAGTGCACAGTACAGAAGAGCACACCTTAAAAGAGAGAAGATTGAGCCAGTTTTCAAAGCTCCAACCCTGCTTGGCACCTCCCCAGCTCTCGGCCAGTGGAACTTCACCAGGAACCCCTTTAACGCCAAGCAGGGGAGAGCCAGGCAGGGGGAGGAGGGAAGTTCCCAGAAGTTCAGCTCCAATGCTGAATGATGAGTTGGATACGTGCAGAATTGCAGAAACACCAGCGGAGCCTCAAGGGAGGCGGCCTGGCCAGCAGCCACTTTGTTTTGGCTGGCTGCCAACTCTGGTGGTCAGGAAAAGGGATCCCAGAACACGTTAAAGAATCAAATGAAGAGGATGCTCCAGCTGACCAAGAGGAAGCCAGATGTTGGCTAAGCAACCAGCCAGCAGAAAGAAGGTCCAGAGCATGCAAGCCCTCAGTTATTTTGTCCTTCTCAGCCACAGTCAGCAATTCCATGGCATTAACCATTCCCGACTGAGCAAAGTCAATCAATGTACATCCTATACTTCTGACAATTGGTTGAGAGGCAGGTTGCACAACCATCACGTCATTTTGAGCCAAACCCACATCTGTGGCCACGGCAATTGGGTTCAGCTGAGCTAAACCACCATGCGGTCTTGTTTAGTTTTGTCTCAGTGTGTGATGTGAGCTATCCAACAAGCAAACCCAAAGCAGTCATGCAATCTATGAACCAAGCCAATGTTGCCTCAAGCCCTTCTACCTTATGCTGGTATCTGTTATCAAAGGCGTGCTTGATGAGAAGGCTTTTCAAGATGCTGATGGCCACGTATCGGACGTCAGAGTTGTCCTTCAGCGCGGCAGAGGTCTCTCGCAGGAGCACTCCCACCAAGAAGTGGTGGCGGCAATACTCATCAGTTAGACTGTACTCAAGGTTGACATCTGTGGGGAAAAGGTTGGGAAGGACTATTCTGATCTTACCACAGTGACATCCGGTGATGAAATCTCGGAGTCTCCCCCAGGATCACTCCAGAGAAGAGGATGCCGAAGAACTGGCCCACCCCACTGGCTGAGCTGTTTGGTCCTGCTAAGCTGGAGTTGGAGGTTGGGGGTCCAGGGAAATGAAAACAATGGGGAAGAGCTGGGGGGAGATGTGCAGAGAGGGGGGAGGAATCTGAAGATACTGAAATAAAACAGACATCCTAGCGGCCATAGCCCGGATTATTTATAGCAACCATTCAAGATGGTCAACTAAAATTTATTGCTGAGACTAAACTTCTGCTTCTGGAAATGCTAAACTGTAGCTGCATAAACAGATTGAGATCTTTCAATGTCAATGCAGACATTTTTACAAACTGAAGGTTTGCAGCTGTCTCGGATGGCTGTTCCAACTCTGTCTGTTTGCCTTTTCCGATGAAACAATTGCTAACCTCTGCTGGTTTCAGAAGCAAATCCAGATCGGGACCCTGGGTGCTGAATGCGAGGGAGCAAATAAGGAAGCTCTTACAAGAAGCCCAAATCCTTGCTTATTTTAAGAGCATTTGATCTGGCAGAAAACATTTTCCAGACTTTATTTCTACCTTCCATCTGCAAACCTTGCAGAGATGAAGGGGCCCAGAAAATGGGAAACAGAAAAGAATAGAATTAAATTAATTGGATTAAGTTAGGAGGGCACAAGTAATGGAAACAACTGATGGGCAACAGAAGAGGCACATTTATAAATATTGGAAGAGGCCCAGATTTTTCTCATTTTATCTTCATAGCCAAAACTTTGTGCTTGTGTCCATGGCAGTGAATATGCTCCACTGTGCGGGTGTGTATATTTTATCCCTTTGCTCTGACTGTTTCAACAGTTAAAAAAAAGCTGGGGGGCAAACAGGAAAGACATTTTTAAAAGTGCTTTTTAAAATAGGTATTATCTCCCAGGTTAACTGATTTTTCACCACAATGGTGCCAGTTCCGTTTTTAGCGAAGCCAATGCTTAATTATCAAAATACTTGCTGTTACTTAATCCTGCAAATTCGATCTGCAGGCTTTGCTGAATTTCTCAGGAAGTTTCAAAATGGCGATTCCCTGTCTGAGCTCCCAGGCCAATTATTGGCTTAAGAAACAGGCAGAGAAATAATCTGTTGTTAGCCATGGCCCACTGGGGGTGTGAATCACACAGCATTTCACAGACCTTGCGTTCGATGAAACTTTGGCTTGGCAAAATTCATTGGTAAATTCAGCGGAATGTAGTGCTCATGGCTACAGATGGTCTGCAGAAACTCAAACTTATATTCCACCAAGAGCTGGATGTAGAGAAGAGAAAAAAAAATAGGATTATAACAGACGGCCTCTGCTTTCTGTCCTCTGCAATGGCTCTGGGAAGCGGAATATTTTACCTTTGGGTCTTTGGGGCTGAACCCAGAAATGTAATCGTTGATCAAGTTGAAGATAAATCCTCGGTCCATGAAGGTCAAACATCGCTGTGGAAGGGGATAAAAGGTGACCCTCCTGCTTCGCATTGACTGAAGGTGCATTTAGTGGGCGTGAACGCTATTGCTGGGGTAACCTTTGGGTATTGGGGGCTCCCATCGACAGAGTTTCAATCCTAGAAGCGGTTCTCAATGTCGGCAGGCTGAGTCAGCCCAACGGGAAGAAACAGTTGGCCCTCTCTTTTGCTTTTAAACTAAAGACGGGGAAGGAAGGAGAGGAAGACTACACCACCTTCAAGAAGTTGGCCAAGGAGAAGTTGACATTTCTTGACTCCTCTGGGATTTCGCTGTAACGAATGTTCACATGTGGAATAATGGAGAGCAGCAAAGAATGCAGCGCGTGGCCGTAGGACTCCGGGAACCGCTGTGGCCTGGGAAGCTGAAGGGGCAAGGTGTGAAGTCCGGCCCAAGCTCCTTGCATTCACACAAGACCCACGTGGATTGCCCATGAAAGCTGCCCGGGGTGTGCTTTTGCCCTTACCTTAATCTTGTTCTCATCCAGAAGATAAAGAGCCATCGACTTCACCAGAATTTCAAAGAAAAACCACGAATACTGGAAGCAAGAGGAAGACAAAAGAGAGGTAGTCCAGCCAGGTCAGGTCCCCACCTGTTCCCACAGTGCAGGAGAAGCCACGGTGTGCGTGAGGCCACCAAATGAGCAGCGTGTAGCCTTCTTCCATACCCTTGGCCCTTTGCAAGGGGGAGAGGTGGCCTTGAAGAGCTTCCCTTTCCGTCTTTGGTCTCACCTTCAGCATCTTATTGATGGCCAAGAAGTCTGCAGACTGCTTGAGAATTGTTGATATGGCTGCTGCCAAGATTTCGTGCGTCATTTTAGCCTGGGGCCGGCTGGGCTTCTCGGGCTGAAAGCAGTACTGTGGGGAAGAAGAGACGTTGGACGCCCTGGACAGAGCCTATGACCTAGAAGGGAGTCCTTTCTCCAACTCACCTTGACGAATGTCCGCAAATAGTGGTCAAGACTCCCCTCGTGGCATCTGGATACGATGTAGAGAAGAACCCTGCAGGAAGGGGTGGAAAAGAAGGTCAGAGGAGAGCACCTCTCACTGTTACACGGAAGAGTAACCCCATTTCCATGATCGCAACTCGCTTTCCTATCAGGGCCCGGCTGGCTCGGCGGACGTAGAACGATGCTCGGTTGGGACTGTCATCTGTTTCCTCCTGCCCATCTTGAGTTGTTTACTCCAGGGTAGCCCTTTGGCCTGGTCAGGACAGACTCACACAAAGTTATGACTGTTGAAAAAAGTGGCCGATGACTCTTGCTCTCAGGACCAAGGCAGCATCCCCGTGGTCAAGTGCTTGGCAACCAGCCCGTATTTGTGACAGTTGCAGCATCCCTTGGTCAGTCGGTCAGCATTTGTGACCTTGATGTCCAGCAAGCAAACTCAGGGAGGGAAGCTGGATTTGCTTAATGGCAAAAAAGGCTGTAAACTCAGGCATAGTCACATGATGACTTACTGACCACAGCCTTACTTAGTGATGGAGGTTCTGGTCCCAACCGAGGTGATACGGCGAGGAATAGCAGTGTTTGGTTTTTCCCAGGGAGCAACTCTTTTGGAAGAGCCCCGGGATAAATTTCCATCTGAAAATTTCTCCTGCTTGAGCAGGGGGGTGGACTAGAAGACCTGCAAGGTTCCTTCCAAGACCGTTATTCTGCTCTTCTGAGCTCACCAGATGGGTGGCCTTCTGTAACAGACCCGGTCAAGCCACTGGGCTGCATTGGGCCGCCTGCGTGCTGAGAACATTCCCAAGGCAGAAAGGAAGTCCACCTGAAACAGGCCCCTTGTCTGTGGCCCAAACTCACATGGTGCTGTTGACGGCCACCTCTTCCTCTCCTGGGTGGCTGGTGAGGACTCGAAAGAGTTGCGTAAGAATCACGGGGAGAAACTGTATCATGACCTGGATCTCCATGGCGTGCAAACACTGAAACCAAGATACGTGGTTACTTCAAGACGGGGCAAAGAAGAAGGTCTTGGGATCTTTGAGCTTGGTCCTTCCATAAAGGTGACCACATTTGCACTCCCCTCCCCCTGCCGTCCAGTCTCAGCTCACCTTCAGATACTTCACAAGTTCTCCTGGCACTTCTTTGGCACCCTCCTGAATCGTCTGGCAATACTGGAAGAATTTATGCAGGTGACGATCCTGGCGAGACACAACAACCAAACCGTAGGAACAGAGTGAGCCGTTTCCACTCGTGCCTCACCTGTGCTTTCTGCAATCTGGTAGATCCTTAGCTTGGGGGTGTCTTCTCCTCAAGGCCCGGGCAACACACCTCCCTCCTCACCGGGGGGGATGTTTTGTTTTCCTGAGGAATCTCCAACAGGTTGGGAGTGGGGTGGGGACGGTCACGGCTGCCCTGTTTTAAAGACTTATTTCTATGGGGTTGCGAAAGGGCCCCTGTGAAGGCCGGTCTTCCTTCCATGTTTATTTATTTAAGAAAATGTCGCCAAATTATTCTCAATGACTCCAGGCGACTTACAAGGATAAAAGCCCAATGCATAGAAAAGCAATCTCACACACACACACACACACACACACACACACACACACACACACACACTGACAACAATCAAATGAGCCACTTGATAGTCTCCATCCCGCTCTGAGGTCTCCAGGCCTGTTGGCAGAACCAGATCCTCAGGGCCTTTTGAAAGAGTGTTGAAGTGGGGGGGGGGTCAGTCTTATCTCCCCGGGGATGATGTTCCACAGGGAGGGAGCCGCCACGGAGAAGGCCCTTCTTCTTGGTCCCACCAGGTTGGACCTCCTTAACATACCTGGGTATATATGGTGGACTCCAAGTGTAGCCTCAGCTTGAAGAGGGCCTTGGCTCCATCCACCCACTTGAGATCGGTATTTGGCTGGAGATCCAAAAGAAAGAGACATCTTTGAAGCTTGGGGTTTGCCCAAACTAGTCTGGGGTACCTGACCAGGCAGTTTGGCCCAACTGGGGATGAAGAGAGTAATTTAAGTTGAACCCAGAAATCGGCCCACGCAAGAGAGAAAATGTTTCTGTCTTATGTGGAAAAAAAAGTATTTCTAAGTATAAAAAAATCCCAGTTCCTCCAATTCTGCAGCCAAGAAGCCATCAGAACAACACAAACAAAGCTGTCCAGTTCTTTGTGGGTTTTCGAGAGCATATCTTGTTTACACGAACACAGTTTTCCAGGAACTGGGACAAAGGCATGGCAGCCTGGGCATTTGCAACAGAGGGGATAAGTTGTACTCCTTGGCAATGTGCCAATGTGCCAGGGGCTTGGAATTGTCTAAGAAACCAGGGATACCTGCCTGGCTGGGTGTAACCTCTATGAATTTGCTTGGTTTGAAGGGTGAAAAATGGTGTATCCAAAACCACACACGGGTTGTCCTCCTTTTGATGACTCCATCTCACAGCAGCCTTACCTTTCGTGCCTCGGTATCTCTGGCGCCCAGGTAGCCAGCTGGCAGGTTGGCTGAGACTGGGAGCTGCTGCTCAGAGGTGATAACCAGCCCATCTTTCAGCAAAGGAAGCCAGGCAAAGCCGACTGTGGGAACGGAAGAGACACTGCGCATCAGCCACGGCCCGGGTGCCGCTGGTCTGCAGGGCTGCAGAAGGTTTAAGTGGCACCTGCGGGTCAGATCCTGCAGTGCAGACTCTGGCTCTGCAAGGAGCTTCAGCCGGGATCCCAGAGGATAATTCCCAGCCTGTGCTGTTCATTTAGGAACCCGGGCAGTCGGGCAAGTCCAGAACCCTGGGGAAGGAGAGGGTTGGGATACCCGTGGTCTCCACGGCGTCCTGTTTCTTCACTGTCCCCTTTGTGTTAATTTCACAGCTGATGTGGTAGAAGGTGAACAACAAGTGATGCTTCTGATGGAGGTGGATTGGAAGCTGGATTTTGATCTATGCAACAGGAGAAGGGAGGCTGAATTCTCGCACGATTTTGTTTTTAAAAAAGATGATCAGTATTTTGTTTTGTCTGGCTGGGGAATTCTGGGAATAGAAATCCACCCGTCTTAAAGTGGCCAAGTTTGAAAACATTAAAAGGAAGATCCTAAGCAAACTTGAGTTCCATAAATAGAAAATAATCTATCTGCTCTTTAATGGGGAGGCTGGTTATTTTTTTTCCTCACCTCATCGTAAAACTCGGGGCTCTGATTGTGGTGCAAGACACAGGCATAGGCGTGCGAGGTGAAGAGTGGCCCTCCGGATTTGCCGTAGAAGCACTGCAGAATGAACAAGATCTCAGTGAGGTTGAGAGGAGAAGACTCTAAGAAGGCGCGATTATCTCCTTGGACCATCAAAGGTCCTTCCGTCACTTCCCCTGCAACCCTGCTCAATTCAGCCTCATTCAGATGAGGGTGGAACAGATCTCCAGATTCCCGTCTGGCCAGGTTTAGGAGCCCAAGACTGAAGGGTTCCAACCTGGTCAATTGGCTCCCTCTAGTGGGAATTCTGGACAAGCTGATGGACCTTCTGTCTTCGTTCATATGGAACGGAGGCCCAATTGGGCCTCTTGACCCCGATCTAAGCCAGCCCTCTGTGCCAAGCGCTTGCAGAACGCAGGAAGCCCACCAATCACCATGCCTGGAGATCAGCTGGCAGGTGGACAGGACCTTCCAAGAGGAAGAAGATCGTTCATCTGGCCCAGAGGTTGGAACATAAAGGACAGGGAGGTTTTGGAGATGGAACGGCAGCATAAGGAGAAGGATATCCCAGAAACTTGACCTGGGGCCCCAGGAGGCCACCAGCCGCCTCAGTGCCAGGGGCCACAAGAGGCCAGAGGAGCAGGACCACCTTCTTGCGAGATGACCCTCTTTCTTGGGCCCGGCTCTGGAGTACCTTTAAGGCTTTGGCGTCTCCTTCATCAGAGTCCTTGAATTCCACCCGGATGGCGATGTTTCTTGCCTGGAAGAGCGACCCACGGTGGGGACAAGGGAATGTTGAGGCCCCCATTTTTGCCACAAGGAAGCTCTCCTCACCCTCCCGTGTGTCTCTGACAGGAGAGGCCTCCCTGCTCACCTTGGCAAATGTCTTCTGGCTGTCGTACTTCAGATGCAAAGGGTAGATGTAGAGCTGGTTTCTGTAGGCGGTGAATGGACAGCAGTACTTGGCCACCTCAGGGACAAATTCATCAACCTCGATAGCCAGGCCGTCACACCGCTCCCGGCCCTCAAAGGGTTTGACAGGGATGAAGGCCGCCGTGAAGCAGTCTGGCAGAGGAAGAGAGCCAAAGGCACCCATGGGGACGGCGCTCCCTCTTTGGACAAGCCAACGGGGGAGGTCAGAGTCCCTGAACAAGTCTGTCTGTCTGTCTGTCTGTCTGTCTATCTGTCTGTCTCTCTCCCCCTCTCCCTCTCTCTCTGGAAGCAACTAATCAATCAACCGATCCATCATTTTGTGGCTTAGAAACAAGGTTACACAAGGGGAATTCAAGCCGATGAGTGCTAGAAAAAACGACAGTCTTGTGTTCCTCCATCTTTGTGCTCTGCCCTTACTTGGGAGCTCCAGGGGGACACACTCCAGCGTCACATTCAGTTGGCCAGGGATCACTTGCAGCTTTGTCTTCTCCGGTCTGCACAGGAAACAAAGAACAACTCAGAAGACCAAACCACGCAGTCCAACTCAACACACTGGGATGAAAAAACTGGGGCATTTATTTTCTCTCCATTCTTGGCATCCGAAGGCCCCTCTTCTGACCCCATTGTGCAGAAGGACACTCCTGTCCCAGCAGCCTTACTTCTTATACTCTGCCAAGAATTTCAGCAGGTCCTCCGTGGAGAGTTTGCTGCTCTCCTGCTTATAGAGGGGAGAGAACTTCCCATCCAGGTCCAAGGTGCCTTGGGTGTCTTTGAAGACAGACCTGGAGAGAGAAAAGGGTATACATTTGGGCAACGTTCCCACCTGCTCATGGAAACCTCACAGCCTCCCAGGTAAATACCCAAACATGGAATTTATGGAGCTCCAGGAGTTTAGGCCAGGAAGCAGGTACTGAAACACAACCAGGAAACAGAATGCAAAGAGTTGGTTGGTACAAAGTGGCTTGATGCTCTTCACATATAAGTCATCTTCCACCCTTCTTAGCCAGATTTTTTCATTTTAACAGTTCAAGCCAAGAGATCAAACCAAGTTTGGAGGACATGTAGGCCAAGGAATGGCATTTTTCATACAACTGCCCTGACAAAATGAATCAAAGTCTGAGATAATGTCAACGTCAACGTGCATTCAATCTTCTGGAGAACGTAAGCTAAAAAAGGAGACACGTTTCCTAGGGAAGTTGCTGGTATTTCTTTACATGTGCTGACCAAAGAAAGTTGGTTTATCAAATACCAGTCACAGAGAAAATATTTCTCCAGCATTGTTCAGGGCTATCTGGCATCTGGAGATGTGTTTGGATGGCAAAGGAAGCACTCTGAAAGGCCAGCAAATTTCCAGGAATGGAGATTTCAACCAGGAAATCTCTTTCTGAGGAAGAGTAGAAGCACCAGGTTCCTAGAAGAGCAAGGTCAAAATAGGTCTTCTCCTTTGGAAAACCTTCAAATGCCACCTTCAAATGGCAGTTTGACCTGGTAGCTGTGGGCAAAAGACTTTAGAATAGAATAGAACTGGAAAGGGTCTTGGAGGTCTTCTAGTCCAGCTCCCTGCTCAAGCAGGAGAACCTAAACCATTTCAGACAAGTGACTGTCCAGTCTCCTCTTAAAAACCTCCACTGAAGGAGCACCCATGATTTCTGAAGGCAACTTCTGTTCCACTGGTTAATTGTCCCCACTGTTAGGAACTTTTTCCTCCTGGCATCTTCCACTCATATGATGAGCAACATGTTGGCATTGGCATCTGCACATAGAAGTAGCCTCACCTGACCGCCCAAGCAAAGGGCATCCGGTACCGTCCAAGACGGCTGCACAACATCTTTGCCAGCTTGTGGACCTTCTGCGCTGTCTGTGAAGGAAGGAAAACAGATCAGATGTGGATAGCTGGTTGAAGTTGGAAGATGAAAGTCATCCAGGAGTGGTGACAGGCAGGCAGGCGGAGCATCAATCTCTGATAAGTCAGCTAAGGCAGGTTCCTAGAACCGGGGAAGTGACATTCTCCCATGATAGGCCCATAAATGTTCTAGGTGAGCACCGAGAACATCTGAAACATCACCAATTGTTGCTCAGCATCACTTTGCTCCTTTCCCTACCCAGGAAGAGTACAAGTGGGCAAAAGGGGGCATATGCAGCTCAGTAAATAAATTCTGCCCCCCCCCATCTCTATCCCCAATCCAAGAGATGCTGCATGTCTTGTCCATGTTCAACTCTCAATCACTCGATCTAGGAGTCCCATTATTTAGGTGGAACATTCATAAAATACCTTCACACATTGAGCTAAGATATGGCTCATTTGATTTGGGTTCAATCTCTCTGATTTATAAATCACAGTTCAGTCGGCCATTAATGCCTCTTATGTGCTCAACCACCATTGTTATCTCAACAGGATGTTTCCTGCCTTTCATGGTGTAACACAAACTGAAGGAGCTTTGTGGGATGGGAGGTCATGCCTTAAGACATCTCATTGCCTTCTTTCCCATCCCAAAGCTCAGCAAGTCCATCCCGTGGGATCAGCTGTACCTTTGCAGGATCTGAATTCTTGATGTACGGCTCCACACTGTGGGCAATGCTTCCTTGAAGCACCTTCTCCACCCGGGCAACAAGAAAAATTTCTGGGTGGGGGTTGGTCACAGAGAAGACCCCCTTTGTGAAAAGAGAAGCAGAGCATCAGAACTTACAAAGCCCCTAAAGATGGACAAGACAACGTGAAGGCCATCATTTGAGAGAGTCCCAGCTAGACGCTCAGGCCTACACAAAAAGGAGAAGTGCAAAATATTTTAGGCCCTGTGGGTCTGTCCTTACTTAAGATGAGTCCCAACTTCAACCAACTCTCTCCTAAGCAAGGATGGAAGGCTCCTAGCAGGCGGGTGCACTCACCTACAAAATGGGTGGGCTGTAAAATAGTTGCTCATCTCTGACTGACATTATCTGTATTTCCAGGATGTAACTCAAAATCTGATGCCTGCTGGCCAATCAGGTGTAGGAGTATCCACTGTAACAAACATTCCTGCCCTGGCTTTGCACTAGGATGCCATTTTCGTAAGAAGCTCCGCATTTGGATCCACCACCCCAAAACACAGACCAGTTGTTGGGAAGCAGGAATAAATCTGTGTTCTGCTGGAGGACTTTCCTCCAGCACGCAGTTGATTACTGAGAACTGAATAGTAAATTGCTGCACGTTAGGTTTAATTTAGCTCCTATTTCCTTTGGAGGCTTCGTTCCTGTTAAATCTGAGATCTGGTGGAATCCACAGAGGCCCTCACCTGCTTTATGTAGCGCAAGCTGGACTCCGCCATGCCGTGGAGGGAACGGCTGTTGACGGGGCTGTTTCCAGGTTCTTCGTCAGAAGAGTCAGGCAGCATCTCCCGCACAGGGCCATGATTTAAGTCCACGTGGAAATCTGCTGAGATCTTGCAACCGCTTTTCAGATCAAAGAGAGCCAGGCTGAGGAAGAACGGTTCTACCTGGGAGCACAAAAGAAGATCCTTAGGTTGACATTGACTTGACATTCTACAGAAGGGAAGGCTGGATTTTGAAGAAGAAAGGGTTACTTCGAACTTGGGCACTGGAAAAAGCAGGGTTCTCACTTGAGGCACAAATGACCAAATTATCCTACTTTGGACACATGATATGAAGACCCAGTTCGGTGGAGAAGGCTGTTAGGCTGGGAAAGGTGGAAGGAAAGAGAAGAAAAGGATGACTAGCAGCAAGATGGAGGGACTGAGTTGCAACAGTGATGAGTGCTATCGGAAGGACCAAGTTGGGGACAGATCATCCGGGTGAAAATCTATCTATCTGGTTGTTAAAAGAGTCAACAATGACTTGTTGGCATATAGTCAATCGAGGTGCCAAAGTGGGACTGCCTTGGGTGGAGGCATCTTCTGGGGAACCGGTGGGCTTCCACGTGCTGTTGGTTGGCCGCCAGGAGAACATCTGCTGGACTAGAGAGCCAGAGGCCTGATCCAGCAGGCCTCTTGGCTGATGTTCTTAGGACACATTGTAAGGACCAGGAAGCCGTTTGGGAGGGAGTAAATAAAAATGTGGGGAAGGCTCTGGCAACAAAAACATACAATGGGTGGGGGCCTACATTTGAAGGGGGGTCCTTGGAGCTGTCCTTCAGTTGGGCCAGGAGGTTGAAGGTCAGGGAGTGGCAGTTCAGCAGGAAGCGTGGCTGTCCCCTTTCCTCAAAGGGATGGATGTCCACCTCTAGTCCGGAGAAATCCAGCCTCTAGGAGAGAAAAAGGCAAAGGGGATTCTTTTCCCACCTGGATCAGGAGGAAAGAGGTTGAAGATGCTCCTATTTGGAAACGAGGGGCAAATGGCACATATTTCAAACATATCTTTCTTCCTTCCTTCCCTCCCTCCCTTTTCTCCTTCCTTCCTTCCTTCCTTCCTTCCTTCCTTCCTTCCTTCCTTCCTTCCTTCCTTCCTTTCCTTTCTTTCTGCTTCCTCCTTCCTTTTCTTTCTTTCTTTCTTTCTTTCTTTCTTTCTTTCTTTCTTTCTTTCTTTCTTTCTTTCTTTCTTTCTTTCTTCTATCTACCTACCTACCTACCTACCTACCCTCAGCCATGCTTTTTCACTGAGCCAAGAACCTCCAGCCCCAAAAGCGTTACCTGCACTTCTGGATCAAAGGAGAAGAGGTTTTGCCTGCCTTCACTGCGGCTGAGTTTGCTGAGCTGCTCCGTTTCTCGGCCGTACTGAAAGAGAACAGAGCCTGCGTGAGGCTGGGATTGGGGGAACTGGGGGAAGCAAAAAAGGGAAAACGTTGGTAGAGAGAAGCTGGGAAGGAGGGGTGGGGGCCTCTGTGTGGCAGGACTGCCAAACCCATCAGGTAACCACCTAGTAAGAATGCTGAAACCATTCTCCCTCCTTGCAGTTTGAGCCTAAAACAGACCTCAGATCTGGCTTTCATTGCTCAAATATGGGCAGGCCAAGATCTCCCAAAAGGGCTTTGCAAAGAGTGAGGTGGGCTGATCCAGAATTTGCCCAATCCAGCCATTTCCCTGCTTCCTGGCAGAAAACGTCGAAGCCAAGGTTACCTTCATCAGCTCTGGATGCAGGCTTCTTCCTAAGCTTTCCAAGATGTTCTCCAACTTTCCATGGCTGCTGGAGTCATCATCTGCAAAATCACAAAAAGCAGATGTTGCAGAGGTACCTGGCCAGAAGAGACAATGGCTTCCTCTGGAAGACCTGGGAAATTGGGACGAAGGGCCGGGAAGCTGGCGGGAATTTCCTGTCCCGCCAGCAGGGTCACGATCCATCCGCTCACCGATGCCAGGGGGCAACCTGGCCTTTTCCTTCAGCTTTACTCTCCTCTCTTCCGGGAACTGCGTTGGATGCAGCCCAGCAACACAACCCCCGAAGAGGCCGAGGAGGGAGGGAGGGAGGGAACTGATGCTGAACCAAACCACTTTAAGCCAGGGAGAGGGACCTGTGCAGCTTTTGGCATGGGGACTCTGCTAAACCTGGAAGGATCTTGGGAAAAGCTTATCTTAAGCAAGCGTTGGAGGTGGGGATTGAAAATAGAACGTGTGTACAAACAGTGTCAGATCTGAAGCAGCAATGGTGCCTTGGATGCAGCAAGAGATCCATTTACCCTCTTCTTCCTCTCTATTATGTGTGCGTGTGTGTGTGTGTGTGTGCCTGTGTGTGGTTGCATCAAGATCTGTCTCCATCACGGCTCCTCACCAGGCACGAACTCCTCCTTCTTCTCTGGCCCCTCCATGTTGGCCTGCAGGACCTTCCGCAGAGTGGCCAGCCAGTCTCCCATCTCCGGCTCCGTTTCCGCGGCCAGGTAGTGGCTGTACTTGTCCATCATCTTGAGCTCAAAGGCATTTCGGCGCATCTTGGGGCACTTGGGGGAGAAAGGCAGGGGACCTTTTGAGGCTGGGGGTGACAGCGCCCTGGACCCCCACCTTTCCCTGAAGTGCTCAAGCAGGGACAAAAGTCTCTTCCGAGACCGAGCGGGTGGCAGGGTGGGACCGACGAGGCGGGGAGGAGAAAGTGTGGCCATTACGTTGCGGTCTATAGGCGGCCTTTGACTTCCAGCCACAGCCGAGCCCAACAGTTCTGCTGCTAAGCGAAACAGCCGGGGAAGCTGAGAATGTACATGATTCTGGTTTATAAAACCATCTGAGCGTTGCCAGTATGTTGTTCTTGCTTTCCTTTGCTAGAACTTCGGTTGAAAGTATTTCCCAATAACCAGTGAGAAATAAATTGACTGACAGAAGACAGACAGACAGACAGACAAAGAGTAGATCCATACTAGATCCTCTCCAGCATGAATCTGCCTCTGGGCTTACAAATTCTCTAGCAAAACCTTTTGCAAATCCTTACCTGCACAACGTCTATGCAAGAATCCAGGAAGATACATCCTTTGGATTCCTTGGAAATCTTCTCATCTTTGTAGGAATTGAGGATGTAAGAGCCATCTGGAAGCTGTGTCAGGTAGAAATACCTTCTCTTGAACACCTACTCAGAAAAAAGAAAAAAAAGCTCACCGTTAGAGATTGTTGATCTTCCGGTATGGATTCTGCTCCATTCCGTTCATTTCTACTTGAGACAGAATTCCAAAATCTTGAACTTCGTGCAAAGGAAAGTAGGCTAAAACCAGCAATTGTAGCATTTTCTATGCAGGGGGTACACAGAAGCGAAGCAGCCATAGCTGGGACACAGCATCTGTGGCAATGATTTTCAGTGTGGTCCACAGACCATCAACGATCTGTGTTCTGGGCCTCTAACTTCATCCATGCTCAAGCAGGCAAGCTCTTGCAGACATTACTGAGGCATCTTTTCCACCCAAACAAACCTAGTTTGTTTTTCTCTGCTCCCTGCAAAATGACACCAAAGGGCTCCGAGGAGACTCTTACTTTCATGGTCACAGTGATGGTACTGTTGACGTTGGCCTTGTACAACCAGCCTTGCCTGATCACACCACCCTTTTGGGAGCACAGCGAGGAGGCGTCCTGGCAGGGAGGAGAGAGAAAATCATCGCAAGGAAAGAGGACCCAGTGATAGCTCAACGAAAGTTTCCATCCACAAATGTCTATTTCAGTCGGGCAGGTGTGGCAAAGACGGGCTATTTGTGTTAATAATCCTGATCCTCCCCACAAACCGGCTCTGCTCCTTTGCCCAAGGGCTTGTGGACCACACAGATGAACCCTTGGTCACACAAGGCGAGACTCCCAAGCTCCAAAGGATGAGAAAGCCGCCCCTTTGTGATCCTGTAGCTTCAGATCCTCTCTTCTGTGTGAACCCTTCTGATGAAACAGCCTCCCTTTCAAACACCGCAAGACGATTTTCTATTGTGTGGGTGTGGTGGGCGCCTTTTGCTCCTTCACATCTACCCTGCATAAGGCTGGGCTGGCAACCAGCATGTGGCTCAAGCTGAAAATTAGATTATAAAGGCCGCTGGGCAGACACCCGCAAGAGGCAGGCCAGAGCCAGTCTTCTTCTCAGGAATGTTAAAACTAAAACCATAAAGACAAAACAGCAGTGCTATTTTCAGGTTTGACCAACCGTCTCGCCTTCTTTCACTGTCTCTGCATGTGAGCTCCATCTTCTAAACGAGGCCCAATATTTATTCTACTCTACAAATTTCTAGAAAGAAGGCAGGAAGATCCCCAAATTAAGTGAACTTTGTGCAACTGCGTGAAGGAGGCTGCGCTTTATTTCCTGTGGCACCCAGTGGGAGCTCCTGTTGCACTTGGTGGGAACCTCTAGCGCGTCCTCTCACCTCATCTTTATCAAAGTCTTCATCAATTTCAAAGACGTGGCTTGGGACCTTCTCTGGCCTGAAGGATTTGCTAAGTGAAGACAACAAGTTTTACTCAAGTTACATCATAATTTAAAAAAACCACGATATAATAATTAACAAATGAAAAGGGTCCTTGAAGACTATTTTGGGGGCCAACTCACCCACAGGGCACCACAACTTTAAGCAATCCTGCCCAAGGATTCCTACCCCAAGCTCGGTTGTTGGGTGGTCCATGGATTATACTAAACCCTTAATTGTTTAATTAAATCACTAAGATTCTTGGAGGCCGAGGAAAACACCCTGGTTTGGCCCTGCAAAATGCAGTGTTGTAAGATCCCGTCCGACGTACAAGCCTGGGCATGCAAGAACCCCTGGAGAAAGAAATGCTTACCATGGTAACATTCGGAAATCACCAGAATATTCGTCATATTTGTAGTTCACAACATACCAGTCTGAGCTATATGCTTTAATGCACTGAAAAGAAAATTAAACCTAGCTTGTTCAAATCCGTTAGTGTGAATCAGAGCAGCAGCCGCAAAACTCAGCCTGAGTGGAACTGCAGACTGAAAATTCACTGAGCAGCTAAGAAATTAGATGCATAAAGATGGGGGGGGGGGTTGGCATTCTCCACTGCTCAAAGCCCCCCTGCCCCCTTGTTTGTTCAGTTGTGGCTGCTTGGCAGACAATGGCTGGACCTCTGGGGAAGGGGAGGCAGCTGCCTTGTGTCCCCACACGGCAAGGGAAGCCCTACTGAGATGGGGGTTTCAGACTTTGCCCAGGGGATGGTCTGGCTTACAGGTGACTCCCTGTCCTCTCCTGGGACTTGCAGAAATGATTCAAAGCTCCGGATCCCTCCCTCTGTACAAGGAATGGCTATTTATGGACAGGATTTCCTCTGGAATTTAAATATTCAAGGTCTCCTAAGTGGGGCAGATCACAGACCCACTTAAAACAGTAAAAAGGACAAGAGGCCTTTAAAAGTAGCACAGGAAAGACAGCACACAATGTTGCAAATGCTGCCATGCAGAATAATTGTGAATTATTTGGATTTGTTTTTGCCCTGAGAGTTATGCAAGGGAGGGAGTTTTTAAAGAAATGAAATGTGTGACTTGCTTCCTCTTTTGAAAACGCTGAAGAGTCGAAGCTGCCGTGCCAAAGCTGGTGCTTCCTCTAGAAAGACTAACTACAACTCCCACCAGCCTTCTCTAATGACCAATGGTCCAATCTAGGTCCCCCCCCCCCAAGAAGAGAGTCGGGAGTCTCACCTCTTGGACAAAGAGACTCTGGGCTTTCTTCAAAGCATCTTCTGGCACTGAGGAATGGACAGTTCTCCTCTGGCGACTGATAACGGAGAGCTGGAAGGAAAGTTGGTTGCTGGTTCTAAAATGATTGAAGACCCCCTGGGTGGAAGGAAGGCTAGGGAGGGGTCTTCCCTTCCTGCTTGAGCAGGATTTTTCAGAAGCATCTAATTAGGCTTGGAGGGAGAGTAAATCCAGCTTCTGAACTTGTCTTATGTTTTGACTGGACAGGACCTCCTTGGGGGTGGCCCCAGGGCATGGGAACACCTTCTGAAGGAAGGCTGTTGGAAAAAATCCCTGCCCCAAGAGCCTCCTGAAGTTTATCTGTGGGATCCTTCTGAGCTATCTCTGTGGCCAAACATGGAACCAAACGTGATTCCAGAACAGCTATGTTTCTCCTGGCACATTTCCTTAGTGTAGGAGGCCATGTGAACAAATCGCAGCCTAAGAGGGCCTCCCAGAAAGGAACGGGGGGGGGAGCACCCGCCTGACACCCCACAGGGATGGAGAGCAACTCACTGAGGCATCTTCCATGGGAAACATGAGCAGATCCCGGAAGGGATCGCTGTAGATCTGCGCTTTCCGTTGGCTGATCACATTCTCATAGTCCAAGGGCTGGCTCACCTTCGTTTTTTCCTGATGGGACACAGGGAAGAAGAAGACCACCTGCCTTGTCAGACCCACCGGAAAGGCCCCTGGGTGGGTGGCACCAACCCCCATGCAGAGGAGAAAGCAGGAGAGGAACAGACCCAAAACTATGCTCCTGAGAGAAATATGGGCTGCTCCAAAATGCCACCATGGACCAAGAGATGCCATCTTGGTCTGATGAAGCAGGTCCCCAGTCACCTAACCTGATGTAGGAGATGGGAGTTGTAGTCCAAACCTTGGGCCAGGAGGCTACAATGGTGGCTATGTTTTCTTTCATCTGATACCATGAAGCCCATAAATAAATGCATATTCTGTCTATAATTGCCCTTCCTCCATCTGCTTTCTTTCCCTCCCTGGTTTCAACAACTGGGTCCTCCTTGGGGCAGGGAATCATGCCCTACTTTTTTGTTTTTGCAAAATGCCCGGCACTCTGATTAAGCCATGCTAAACCAACAAAGTGCACAGCAAGAATACTACGCCCTGATGCCGACAATTAGAATAATCTCCCATGAAGGAGGAGCCAGTTCCTTGGCGGAGCAGGCTGAGGATTTTGATGCCAGGCACAAGGCAGGAAGAGGCCACCCCTTTGCCACCAGGCTGGTGCCCCTTCTGCTTTCTCCTTCTTAGATGAAACCTGATGCTTGCATTTCTTAAAGATAATAAATTTGCCAAAAAGAAGTGGATTTGCCCATCCCGTGCCAACTGCGAGCTAATCCTCTTTCCCTGTTTTTGGACAGGTGCCAATGCCCTGGCTGCTGTCCACTCCTGGCAAAAGAACAGAGCTGACCATGAGATAAACACCTGCTCTTTTAGCCAGAACGTCTTAGATGTATATTAGCAGGACGAAGCAAAGAGAAATCTAGAGATAAACAAGAAGGGTGGAAGATAATTTGCCCAAAACCACCCTTTTTGAAAGTCTAGACTGGTATTTCTCAACCTTGGTGACTTTAAGAGATGTGGACTTCAACTCCCAGAATTTCCCAGCCAGCAACCAAGCAATTCTGGGAGTTGAAGTCCACATCTTGTCCCACCATTGCCAGTTAGAATATTCAGAAAAATGACAGCAACCAGATCCCTGGGAATTGCAGGGATAATCCTTGGCAGATGACGATTATACCGATGTTTTGAAAAGGCTCCCTCAAGTGTCGGTCCTGGAACCTTTCACAAGAGGACTTTGGGGCTCGCCCTGGGGAATTGTCAGCCTGCAGCAGGTCTGCCAGGATCAACTCTGTGCAGAGTTGCCTTCTTTCCATTCTCCCCACCGCTCTTTGGAAGCCTTCAGGCTCTTCACAGGATGTTGTTGGTCTAAACCCGTGTTTTTCAACCTCGGCAGCTTTCAGATGGGTGGATTTCAGCTCCCAGAATCCAATTAAAGTGGGCAAGGCTGCACTAAATGGAAATAATCACAATTTTTCTAATCTTCATTTTTCTTTTTCATTTTTTTTTTTTTGCTCGTGACGCTCAAAACGGAAATGCTTCAGGAAGTGGCCAATGACTAAACATCTTCTGTGCCACCAGGAACGCATTTCAAAACTGCAGCTGCTCGTTTTTCCAGCTACAGCTTTCCCTGCCTCTGAAGGCCTGGGCCTGCCTCTGCCTCATCACAACAGCCTTTCTGAGAGCATCGGCACCAAAGGTATTTTTAGTTCTCCACCAAAAGCTTTCCAGCAGCTTGTCTGGGGCATAACCGACAGATCCAGTTGCAGACTTCTGGGAGAAGAATGCTTTTACCGATCCATACCTGCATTTTTTTGCTTTAAGGAAAGGAGATGAGCTCAGTCATTAAGGTGACCTGAATCTCCTTAATTAGCCCTTGTTCTATGATGGAAATCAACCTCGCCTCTCCCCTTGCATCAAAGGAGGCATCCATCAAAACTCTTAAGTGGTGCTTTAGTTGCAGCACCTGAAAAAGGTTCCTTTTTGATGCCTTTTAAGGCCATGCAAGTTTTAAAAAAATAAAGCAGGTTGGATCGCAAAGTCTCACTTCCATATCCTGCAAAGTTGCTTGAGCTCTGAGGAAAAAAATGCAGAAGAAATGCAATGCAGAAATAATAAACACATCAATAAATAGGGAGGCACTTTTAGCAGCAACTATTCCCCACAAAAAGGATGCAACGCTGGTTCTTGAGGGAGGAAGGAAATGTATGAGCCAATCTAGAGGAGAGGAGCACGGATCCCACTTCTTTATGATCCATTCATAGACATCTCTTAAATTCCCATCTCCAGACGTCGCAAATACAAGCAGTCCTCAGCTTACAACCACTTGTTTAGTGACCAAAGTTACAACAGCACTAAAGAACTTAGGACCATTTTTCAATTATGACCGTTGCGGCACCCCCAGGGTCATGTGATCAAAATTCAGATGCTTGGCAGCCGGCCCATAGTTATGGCGGTTGCAGCGTCCGAGTCATGTGATCCCCTTTTGCGACAAGCAAAGTCGCTGGGGAAGCCGGAATCACTTAACCACTGTGCGACGGTGGCAAGAGAGGTAGTAAAATGGGGCAAAACACACCTAACAGCCGTGTCGTTTAGCAATTTTGGGCTCAATTGTGGCTGTAAGTCAAGGACAACTATAGACCGAACCTAGCTGGCCCCCCCATGATAGGTCCCACTAGTGGCTCCCCCACTGTGGGTCAAAAGAACTGCAGCCAGGCAACAGGCACTGCCCTCCCCCCAAATCTTGGGTGGGTGGGTCTCCAGAGCCCCCCAATCCGTGATATCTGGCATGGCCAAAAAAGCCACTTCTTCAATTCAGTCGTCCCAGCAACTGCCTCCCATTTGCTCAGTTTCAGTTCAGTCTAAATTAACACCTGCTTTGCCATCCCTGTTCGGAACAATTATCTTCAAAGAACTTCAAAGGGAATTCTACCCCAAAGTCACCATGCAGCACACAGACCCCCGCCCCCACTTCCTCCTCCACACAGCACTGCCCAGACTTTAATTAAAGCAGAGACCGGCTGAAATGAAAGCAATTAGCAGCAATGGATTTCTCCCTAGAAACGGGGTGGGGAAGGATATTCGAACCAGGGATGAGCAAAAAGGAAACCGGGATCCACCAGACATCCATAACAGTCTCAGCAATCTGGTCCTCCCCTTCTTAATAAGCGTTATGGGTCACAGCCAAGGTATGATGGATGGGGAGCAGTTTTGTAAACAGAAAGTCTTGGAGGGCTCAGAAAACAGGCAGACCAGGTATTTCTTCTAAACCTGGAGGTGGAAAAGGGGGGCCTCAATTTCCCAGGCCAAAAAAAATACAAAAAGAGGCTCTTTATGTTGGAAACACCAGAAAAGTTTTTATCCTCTGATGTGAAGGGAGGAAAGCTTTTCATTCAAAAGGCCAATTCTAGGTCAAAAGAGAAAGTTGGAAAGGGATATTAAGGAAGGGCTCCGAGCCAGAGAAAGGGAGTCATGGAACGGAAACGTGGGGTTTTCTTCCTGTTCTAGAAATATGGTAATGCCAGAAAATGAATTTATTATTTCTGATTTATATAGCTGCTTCCCTCAATGGAATGACTCTTGGTGGGTTGCAACAGTTACAGTTACAAGAGTTAAAAACTGCAAAAAAGGACCAAAAATCTTAAAACACATAAAGCCATATAAAAAAGCTAGCAATAAAACCCACAGCTGAGTATCTACATTCCACACAACTGTTGTATAAGCTTGACTACACATTCAGATCCTCCAAACTCTGTCTATATAGGTTTACGTGTGTTGTGTGTGTAAGCTCATCCTAATGTTAACGGTGGCTGATACACAGTGCAAGCATCTGCTTTCAAACCCTGCCACATCTGTTTCATAAGCGGTCATGGGAAAGCAAGACAAACTGCACCCCACATACCGTAGGATCTCTCTTCAGAACCTGTCTTCTCTTTTAGGACTGTGCTAGACAGTTTATCTAAAAATACTTGATGCTGTTTGGAAAAGTCATCACAGGCCGACTTATTGATTACTAATCTTAAGCAAGGTAACTTGCTTGCTAGCTTGGCTAAGTTCTTGGCAAGCCATCTGTTGTTTTCAAGTGATTTTATCAGAAGGGGGGGGGGGATGACCGAGTGCAAGGCCAAAGAAGCACCATCTGGCCCCCAAGTCAAGTTTGCAAGCAGCTGCCCCATCAAGACAAGAGCTGGGTTGAAACTTAAGTTCAGCTTTGCTTAAATCCCACTAAGCGAAGCCTACATTTATATAAGCATCCCTCAAGAGGCGTTTCTTTCAGAGCATCTGCTTGGCACCCCAGGGGCATGTTACCATCTGCCTCTCTGCTCCTTAGAGCCGAGTCGGGCCCTGACTCTGCCTGACTAAGATGCTAAATGCTCTCTGCACATGGACGTAGGCTCTCTTGCCCTGACTTTGCAGGATCAGAAAAGCTGGCTCTTTCAGAGCAGAAAGGCTGGAGGAGTGCCCAGTCCTTGCACCCACCCACTCTGAGCAGAGGCTTCTCTTCCCTGGTCCTGCTGGCAAAGGACAACAACTGCCACCACGGCTAGAAAGACTTCCCCACCCACCTCCTGGCATCCTTACAAGAGACATTTCCCTGCTGCTCCTGGTCTGAATTCCCGTTTCTGGATGCTTTGGAAAAAAGAACCTGCCGTCCTTCCCGCGTGCTTCAAAAGATGGCCGCAGTGATGCCAGCACCACCAAAAACCACCCACCCGGGGCGGCTGTGGCTACAGGTTTCATTTCCTGCCTGGCAGAGGTGCCAGGAGCCCTAGGACTGGGCCTCCCCTGCCAGCCCAGCAGCCTTGTCCTCTCTGCTCTCCAGGCTCTTCCAGACATTTGGTTTCATTAGATATTTGTGGGTTGGGGGCTGCCTCCCCTCCCCAAACCTGCCACGTGTCAGTGAGGAGCAGATGCTCCTCCGGGGCTGAGATGGTGTCCAACCCCAGGGTGGTGGGGGAGGGGGCGGGGGGGCTCGGAGGAGGCTGGCCATCCTTGGAAGCTCCAGAGCGTCCTCGGCCTCACCTGAGCACCTCCCTGGCTGGCCTGCCTGCCAAGCTCCCTTTTCCCCACTGGAGAGGAAGGCCGGGAGGGCTCCCAAGCAGCACCACATGCTGCAGGTAGGGGTGAAGGGGCGGTGTGGGGGGGGGAGGGATTATCAGGTGCATGAGGAGAGAGAGACCACCTCCCCGCCCACTGCCAGTCCAGGATGCGGGGCTGGGGCGAGGGAGGGTTGCTGCAGATTGCAACAGCTTCCAGGAAGTGCGCGGGGGCAGGGGGGGGTCTTCCCGCATCTCTCTGGCTCTGGGATGCTCAGCGCCTCCAACGGCCCCGGTAGGGCTCCCACTGCTCGGATCCGGGGCCGGGTGGGCGGAGGCGCTTGGGTGAGGGGGGCTCCCAGGAAACGCTGCAGGCGAGGCGGGGGCGAGAGCCTCCAACGGAGGCGGCGTGAGAGCTGGGCTGGTTGAGCTTTCCCACCCGCAGCGTCCGTGGGGGGGGGGTCTCGGGGCATCCGCGGCGCTGCCCCCTCCCTGGTGCGGCGCCTTCTTCGGCGGGGAGAGGCGGGCAGGGCGCCCGGCAGCGCACTTCCTCCCTCCCTCCCGCGGTCGAGGGGGCTTCTGGGCACGTCCAGAGCGCCGGGTGTCCTCCCCGCCCGGTCCCGCCTCACCTGCGCCGGGGAGCCGCGCACCGCCTCGGAGACGCTGTGCCGCAGCTCGGCCGCCGTGCCCGGCTTGCTCAGCCGCTTGGTGAACTTGCGCACCTCCGCCGCGGCCATGGCCGGGAAGCCCGCGGGACAAAGGCAGCGGCGGGCGGGGCGCGGCGGGAAGCGCCGCGGCTCCTGCGGACGGAGGGCTCCGAGCGCCCCCTGCCTGCCTGCTGCCTGCCTGCCCGCCCGCCCGGACAGAGCTCCGCCGCTGACCCGACCCCGCCCCGCTTGGCGGCCGGGCTCCGCGGGGCGGGGACGAGGAGGGGCGGCGCTGCGCTGAGCCCGGCCGCCCGGATCCCGCGCCCCGACGCCTCCTCGCAGGCAGAGCCGCCTCCGGCCCACGCTCCCTCCCTCGAGGGGCGCGCGCTGGCTCTCCCAGGGGGGCGGCTGCAAGCCGGCACGCCCTCCCCACCCGAAAGCCGGACTCCCCGCGAGGCTGTGAAGGGGGAGGTGGGGAGAGACCCCCCCCCAAACTCCGGCAGGTGTTTGTGCAGAGGCTGGAAGGGCCGGTGCGGCTGTTGGCCCTTTTCCCGAAAGCAGCCAGGACCCCAAATCCGGACTTGGGCCAGTTGATGCTTTTGGAAAAAAACAGCCCTCCGAAGTTGGGCGATGGAAAAGGCAGAAGAAAATGGACCAACTGGGGCCTGCCGCTCGGTGTGTTGTGTGATGAACAAATAATAACAACACAAACACCAACATTTTTCTCTGTGACCCATTTTTAATAAGACATCCTTTGTTTTCTTAAGCAGCTGCCACCCTCAACAGTCTTTCTGCAGGTTATGCCCCTGCAAAACGGTTGCGTCATTGGTATTATTTTACAAATATTTACAAAGCCTTTTTAATTTGGTTTTAACTCTAAACAAGGATAAAACAAAAAACTTAAAACTACAATATTTAAAAAATATGTAAACAGTTTTATTTTACATCGTTGTAAAATATAAGAATTGTTCCTAATGCAGCTTAAGTTGCTTTAAAGTGAGCGTAGTATCCCTGTGCCTGGGATTAAGGAATGAGAAACTCTTTCATAGAAATATTGTGCTCCAGTGTGCAAAAAGGGAACAGAACAGAATCGAGAGTGCACAACAGTGAGAAGACCACAGAAGTCCACGTTATCAAACACCGAAACGAGGTTGCCGCTAATCCATCTGCGGGCCGCGGGGCTTAGGAGTCAGAGAAGGAACGATCGCACAGAACGTAACGGGTCTGGCCAAAAATGCACCTCGGTTAAGAGAAATTAAAAAATAGATCAGCTTTGCAGGGGACGGGACGCTGGGCAGAGGGCATTTAACTTTGTGCAACTGCAAGGAATTACAGCCCCTACTTGGGCACCACTGAATCGAATTGACTGTTCACCTGTGCAAAACTGTTCCTGGGTGACCCCCAAAGGAGCATCTCACTGTATTTTTTGTGCAGGCTTATTCTGCATCTGGTGCATTATGCAACAGCAGAATTATTCGGAAATTGCAACGCTCATTTTTCTTGTTTTGAGTGAGGCTGCCGGCGGTCCTCCCTTTCTAATCTAAAAAGCGGTGGAGGGGAAGGGGGGGCTTAAGAGGGTGGGAAAGGTGCTGCTTTTTGGGGAGCTCCAGGACAGCAGCCTTGAAGGAAGGAATTTAACGGTAAGCCGACCTCCAGCGTGAGATTATACTCTGCGTCACCAAGCACGAGACTCACACCCGGGTACCATGATTGCGAGGCTACTGAGTTACTGGCGACTCTTCAAGAGAGGTTTTTCTTTTTGTTGATAAAGACTTTGATGGCTCCGGTGAAATCGGCAGAGAGAAGCACCTCAGTGTGGTCCGCCTTCAAGGCTCCTTAAAAGACAGAAGCCGCAGTTTTAGAAAAGAGGGCCAGGAAATGTTGGGAGAAGAGGGGCGGCTTGCAAAAGACTGTGCTGGCTGTTGAATTCTGGGAGTTGAAGTCCACAAGTTTAAAGTGGTCAAGGTTGCAGACCACTGCTTTGGAGAATAGGTTGACCCCCTCTTCTTTGTGGCAAGCCCTCAAATATTGGAACATTGTTATCACGTCACCCCTAGTCCTTCTTTTCATTAAACTCGACATATCCAATTCTAGCATTATTATTATTTAATATTTCCAGAAGATCAGAAGTTGCAGGGGCTGGAAAATTGGGGCTCTGTGGCCTTGTGGGCCCAGATCATGCTTGTGGGGAAGCTCTTCTGGCTTTGCTGAGAATTTGGGGAGCTGGAACCTCACCCCTGCAGAGGACCCCGGGCCAAAGGAGGCCATCCGGGACACCTACCAGAAGGAATGGGGTCTGCTGTCACTGAATCTTCACTTTTGCTTTCTCCAGGGGGCTTCTCGGCTGTTTCGGAGGAGATCATCAGGCTGGGGTTCGGGGCGAAGATGGCGGAGGTAACCACAGCGTTATGTGCTAGAAAGAGAAGGAAGCCTGTGAGGAGCCTTCTCTGAGGGGATGTGGGAGAAGAGAGTGGCGCAGTTGTGTGTGTTTATGGACCAGATCCAAGGCAGAGAATCGGCAGCAGCAATTACGAGGGAGAGGTTTTGGCTGCGTTATTGTTGTGTATGGGGATTTTATTCTGTATATCCTTTAGGGAGGCTTTTTGACCTTGAGGGCAACTCAGAGGTATTTTTGGTGGTTATTAAGCTTCTCCAGAAAATTTACACGTGGAAAAACGCTGCAGCTCCCTTCTTCCCAAATACGTCTGCCACCAGCTGGTTCCACGGCTGGATTTTTACAAGCTGATGGTGGCAGCCTGTTTCTTGAGGCCCCTGGCAGGGATTAGCTAGCTGCCTCCCCCCGACCCTACACCAACACCCACCCTCCCCAGAGCAAATTCAGGGGCCCAAGGGGGGGTGCAAGTCTGCTTTACCTTTGACCCCCTCCCAGAAATCATTGCGATCTCTCCTGACAGAGGAGAATTTGCTCAGGTCGTGGTAGGTGCTCCAGATGTACACATACTTGTCTTCGGAGCCACTGACGATGTAGGTGAAGTCATGGCTGAAGGGGCAGAGAGGAGACCCCTTCGCTTCAAGATCACGTTTGCTTCCCCTGCCCCACCTCATCAGGAAGCCCCATCGAGGCGAGCAGGTTGCAAGTTCTGAATTCAGGAGATGTTTCTTCCTGGCCTTCAACCAGGAGTTCTGAACCAGCCCCCCGTTGCCCCCCGCCGGTTCACTTTCCTGGGCCTCGGACCCCCTTCCTCACCTGAAGCTGGCTTTGATTTGGCTGCTGCTGTTGACGTAGCCCTTGTACTTCATTGAAAGAGACAGGTCCCGCAGATCGTAGAGCCTGATGCGTGAGTCGTTGGAGGTTACGAGGATCTAGCAAGGCAAGGAGGCATTTTCCTTCGTATTTTGACCCAGACTGGCAGATGCTCCCCTGTGCGACGCCTGGGATTAGCCCTCATAGCTGTTATTCCGCTGCTCCCGCCGTACTGCATCCTTTGCCAGCTTGACATCAGCAAAGGCGAAAGGGGGAGAGATTGGAATGGGGGGGCTGGGGAGCCGGCCCTGACTGTGAGGCGCACCAATCAAGCACAAGGTCAGCAAAAGGAATGTGGTCCGTTTCCAAAACAACCCAAGGACTTTCAATTGGACATTGACTAATAACGAGGGTGGGGGGGTGGCCAGGGGAAAAGGAGAAATTAACTGCATCATTTTGGAGCCAAGCCGACAGACTCTGCCTGCTCTAATCCGTAGCCACTTTGTTCTCAGTAAAGTATACTGGGGGGGGGGGGAATGAACCAGGGCCTTTTCTTTGCTAATTAAACAAGTGAGATGGATGACATTAGCTTCCAAAAAAAGACCCAGATTCTTCAGACCTGGGTTTTAAATGCTGTCATGGCCCAAATTCCGTTGAGCATATGTCTTGAAATCGCCTGCATTTACTGCACGTAAAGCCCCCCAACCCCCAGGAGGTCACACCCCGGGACTCAGCCGGACCTGCTGCTACCTTGTTTTCACCCGGCAGGGGCTCGATCCCCGTGATCTTCCTCCCCACTCGATTCCGTCCTCTGGTTGACCGCACGTGGATCTGAGTATGATACTTGAGATGCTAAGGAGAAATGCGGGAGAAGACGCCCTGAGATACAGAAGGTGGCCACAGCAGCCACGGAGGTGGGCCCTGCGGAGATCAGCAGGGGGAGCTGGAAGAGGCCGGCTTCTGGAGGCTGAAAGGTGGGGGTCCTTCCAGGGGCTCACCTCAGTGTCGTAGAAGATACACCGGCCGTCGTAGGTACCAATCACGGCGTATTTGCCATTCTGGCAAAAGTTTGCAGCGGTGATCAGCTTGGTCTGCCCATCCACCTCATTCCAGAGGGCCACCTTTTTGTCAGGAATGTTCCAGAGCCGAAGTTTGCCGTCCAGCGAGCCGCTTAAGAAGTATCTGTCATCCTAAAAGGGGCCAGAGGGAAAGAGTCCTTTTATCTCAGAACTGGGAAAGGCATCTTGGCAGCCACATTTGGCACCTGCCGGAGGAAATCTTGGGCCCGTCTGCTCCAAGGAGACGCCCGAGAGGTCCTTAGCCATGTTTGGGGATGCTGGATCTCTCCTTCCCTCTCAGGGAATGCAAACCCACTTCCCATGCAAACTGGGTTGAAAATGTAGCACAGAGTTAAGAAAGGGGCCACCGGCACTGACCCTGGGATGGAAGGCGATCGCTGTGACAAAGTCGATGTGCTGGAAACAGCACAAGCATTCCCGCCGGGATATGTGCCAGAGCCGGACGGTCTTATCCATGGAGGAGGAGAGCAGGAAGTAATTCTGCGGAACACGAACCAAAGGGAGGGGGGGGATTTCTGTGGTATCCAAACTACGGAAGGAGCCTTAATTACGTACTGATCAAACTTCTTAGCCACCTGCCTCCTTACAGGTCTGAGTGGAGGACAGGACCCTGAGTGCTTGTGGCCCCAGCCAAAGAAATACAGGCGCGAAATGACACTTCTTGTGCACTAAAGGGCGATAACTGAGAAGGGAGGATTCAAACCTGGTTTTGGAATCCCCAAAGTAATCAGGGTTGGAGGTAAACCACAACAGAACATTTTTGATCTCTCCCCCCTTTGGCTGGCGAAAGGGGGGGGTGCCTTGTCAGGTGTTTGCTGGTTATTTTCAGGAAAGACCACACAATGCCCAAGTGCAATTCCCTGGCACCTGGGGATCGTAACTAGGTTAAAACAAACAGCCGGAGGAAATGAGCCTCTTACTTTAGACCAGGACAAATCCAGGAGGTCGGCCGTGTGACCTTTGTACTTGCAGAACGGCCGCTGCCGAAATGGCGTGCTCCTGTCATCAAGGTCCTCGTCGGTCCCACTACAAATCTGAAAAGCAGATGTAAAAGAATGACAGACAGTCCCAACCGGTGACATCCACCTCTTCCTGGATGCAGGCAGGGAAACCAGCCCCCCCCCAGGTGTTTTCAGATGTGGGGGACATCCAGACCCTCTCCCATTCCCGGCCATTCTCACTAAGGAAAACTGATTTGAGCCCCTGAGGGAAGTGTGGTGCATACTGAAGCCATTCCTCTCGGAAACCCCGTGTTTCTAGGCCGTGGCGACTTTAAGAGGCAGGGGCTTCAACCCCAGAATTCCCCAGCCAGCGGAGCAAAGCTGAGCAACCTGCTGGCGACTGTGGGGGGCTGCAAAGAGCTATTTCAGAGGTGAAGGACAGATAAGGGTCTTTCAGGGGGAGCCCCAACGTTGTGGCCACAGCCTCCTTACTCACCCCCGTATCGTTATCTGACTTGGCCGAGTTCAAACTCTCCTGAGATGGGGAGGGGGAGACGCGGCCTGCAAGGCAAGAGAGGAAAGCGGCTGAAGGGGGCTTCTCTGAAGAACTGCCCACTTCCTGCAGCAGGCCCAGAAGCTGGAGGTACCTTCTGAGTTATACTTCATCCGCATGTTGTTGAAATAATCAAAAGCCGTCTTCAGCACCCAGATCCGCACAAGGTTGTCCTGACCCGCAGAGGCCAGCAGCCGGCCGCAGTGCGAAAACTTCATGGTCCAGACAGCTCCCTGTCCAGAATGGCAATCCTGGTTAATGAGCCCTGCGCTAAAGGACTGCATGCACAGCCCCTCCAGCCAGGCCACGGGGTGGCAGCTCACCATGTGCTCTCCGCTGAGATCCTGCACGACTTTCACTTGCTCAAAGTCGTAGGGCCCCTTGAAGCCGTGAGCGGCTTTGAACTTCACCGGCCGCGTATATGGCATGCCTTCATCGTCGCTGGACGACGGATCGTCTTGATCGGTGTGGAAGACTGAGAAGGGAGAACAGGCGAGGATCACAATTACAGCCTCCAGAGGTAGCCAGAAGGCCAGCAAGAATGAAAACCTTCCACTCCTCCCTCCCCATAACTCTGCCTTTTATACAGCACTTTTTTTGAGAGCCGAATGCAAGGAAATTTCATTTTAATATATGCTGATTAAAATAGAATGAAGATTCTATTCCATTCCATTCCATTCCCTTTAGGATGCAAAGATATGGTGAGATGGGCATGGAAGCTGTTCTGGGCCGAGGAGGTGGGCTTTTCCCTGTCTTGACTCCCGTTGTGACCCAGGAATGCCAAGGGGTGAACATTGGGGGGGGGGTGGCTTGCAAAACCAGTGGCGGGCACTTTTAGCAATATTTCAGTCATTGCTACAGACTGGGTAAGATGGTTTTGTCTGTGCAGCAGCCGGAGGCGGTGGGGTCTGGATCACAGGAAGCAAAGGCGGCAGAGCTCGTAAATTCAAGCCTTTTGGATCAGCCCCCCCCCCTGGCCCTCTGCCTCACCCACCTTCGTCTCGGACGCTCTTCACTTTGTTGACAGCACGTTCTCCGTACTCTTCGGCCAGATGCCGAGCCCTTTTGACTGATTTGCCCAAGAATTTTTTCAGCTGTGTCCTTCAGAAGAAACAGCAAACTGTTTTGCTCAGCAAAGATCTCCAACAGTTACACTCATTTCAGAGACGCTTCTCCAACATGTCCCACCCCACCACTGCCTGTTCAAACGCTTGGCGGACAGGCCTAACTTTGGGGTGATTCGGACTGAAAACCTTGGTGTCCACCTTCTCTGCAATGGGATGAGGCCACGACAGCTTTGAAGCCCTGTCCTGTTCGGCTGCTTTGGGGAACGTGGGGGGCAGGGCTTGCAGGGTTTGGGGAGAGCTCTGGCTGGAAGGCTAGACAGGTCTCCTTGCATCCTTGAGATAATGGGGGACCTTCCAAAATCTCCGAGAAAGAGGACAAAGACAGGAGGAGCAAAACGGATCCCTAAAAACGGGTATCCTGGTTTGCCTGTTGAAGCCATTTCTATCCATCCTGACTTCCCCCCAAGCCCCACTAAAGGAGGAAAGAGCAGCCTCACGTTTTCTGCTTCAAGCGGCCTCCGTCGGTGTCGCTCTGCTGCAGCTGCATTTTGTCTTCATCGTCCGACTGGGCCCCGTCATTACTGTGCAAGGCAAGCAGGAGGGTTCAATGTCAGGGACTGAGGACCCAAACTTTCAGGGCATCAAAGAGGAAGACCGCCCTGTCCGTGGTGTGCCAGGCTCTGCCTTTGGAGGCACAGATGGCACCAGTGGCCCAGACACGGCCCCTTGGCTGCAGTGAGTGGTACCAGGAGCTCTGAAGAGCATCTCGGTGGCTCAGGCGCCTCCAGTCATGCTCAGGGGCAGAAAGAGAAATTGGCAGGAGGGCACAGAAGCGACGCAGGGGGTCCCCACCCGCCTGGCTCCATACCTGACGTATTCCTTCGTCCGCCGCATGATATGCAGCGTCAGGGGATTGATGCCCGTGGGCAGCTTTTCCTCCGCCAAGCTCAGGGGTATCTCCTCGCCCGTGTCCAGGTTCTTAATCATGACGCTGGCCAAGATCTCCTGCAGGGAAGGGCAGGAGAGACAATGGCGAGCGTCATCTTTCTGGATCCTTCCAGGGTTGCAGTCGAGGGCTAGAGATGGATTCGGGTCAAGATGCAGCAAAGGGGCAAACTGGAGAGGCAACCTTGTGAAAGAGCTGCTCTCTTTCGCCTTGAGGGGCTCCCAGCTGCTCTGAGGGGACAAAGCCACAGCTCAGCTCTGCAGGAAGCCCGGCTGGGAAGGGGCCTGCCTAAAGCCCAGCGCTGGCCACCTCCAAGGGGACAAGAAGGGGTACCTCATCCGTGAGTTCTCTGCCCGAATTCGACCGGGGTCTCTGGGGTCCAATCAGTTCACCTGACACCACCTGGCCATCGGCCGATTTCCCATTCTCCTGCAACGACAGGGCGTGTGTGTTTAAATACAAAACCGAAAGAGGCGGGAGACCCCAGCCCACTTATCCTGGGGTGCTGCGAAGAGGATCAAGCCAGATTCCAGACTAGAAAAAGGATTTCCTGGGAGCGACAATTAAGGTCTGCGATATTGATATTGTTGCTACCATTGCAGAGGGGCTGCAATTCTCCCCAGGCCAGGGAGCGAGCGCCCCTAACCATTGGAGCTCTGACCTCTGACCCTGAGAGAGCATGCACAGGATTGTAAGATCGTAAGATATGACTCTAGATTACAACACTTTGTGGGGGGGGGGAGGAGAGCGGGCCTGCTGGCATTCTCAGCTCAGGGCCAATAACATGCAGCCTTCTCCAAAGAAACAGATGCTCCTGGATCCGGCTGAGCACAGCAACGGCCTCAGCTGTACTGGGACCAGCTTCCTCTCCGGAATGCTGGCTTTGCACACACAAAGAGCTTCTAGTCGCTTCTAAGGGGCAACGCAGGCATTTGGTGACCCCCAGCTCTCTCTCCGAGGCAGCCCATCCTTTTCCCAGAACGCCAGCCGGTGCGCCCTGGCCAAGCCCTGCTCGCCACTTTCTCCCCTTAGGGGCATTTGCTCACCTGAGCAGTAACAACTTTGTCGCCGCTCGTGGCGCTCGCCAAGTCCAGGGAAGGCTGAGAGTCTTTGGCGATGGAGTCCAGGGAGGCGTTGGGCGTCAGGAGGCCCCCCAGGGGAAAAGGCTCCCGAGGAACTGCAGAAAAAACACGGGAGTTGAAGGGGACTAGACCGACAGGGAGACCTCCGGGAGGATTTGGCTAGGAATTGAAAACTTGCCTTCCAGGCCAGGAATTTTGCTGGTCTCGATTTCCGAGTCGCTTTTTTTCTTCCTGGGTGGGGGGGCGGGCCGGGCAGGGGGCGGTGGCCTGGGGGGTGGGAGTCCCATGGGAGGCGGGGGCCGCGCTGGGCCAGATTTCTTTGTGCTGGCCACGATATCTGGCTCCATGGTCAGCTGTCGGGGGGGTTTGGCCGGAGGCGGCTCATCGGCAGCCGAGAAGCCGTGGGGGAGGGAGGGATCCGCGGACGGCGCCTGGTCCAATCCATCAGCGGTCTGGGGGCCTTCCTCCTCTGGCGGGTCTCCTCTGGCCGCTTTGCGCCCTCGGCCCTCACTCGGGCTTCCTGCGGAGGCCACAGCCTCTTCCCCTCCGGGGTGATCTGCCCCCTCGTGGCTGGGAGGGGCCGAGGCTTCCTGGGGCGCCACCCCGTTGGCCAGACCTGCAGGGGCTTCGTGGGGCCCTTGCGTTGGGGCTTCCGCGATTAAGAGTTCGGGAATGTGGTGGAAGAGGTCTGCTCCGGAGACCCAAGCGTTTGCCTGTGATGAGGGGCTGGTCAGTTCCTTTTGGGAAGGAGCCAAGGGGTCATCCTCCAGCCGATGGGCTTTCTGGCTTTCTTCTATGATGTTGTCAATGATCTGGAGAGCAAATAAAGGCACAACTGCAATCAGACTGCTGAGTTCACTTAATAACCACTGCAAAAAAGATCGTATGATCAAGCCGGTCACATGAGTGATCCACTTTATGACGGTCATGACTTATGACGATAACGAGCAGGCTCTAAAATGACCGCAAACTGAGGACTGCCTGTATTGGTTTATAGTAGGAGGTTTCCAAACTTGGCAACTTTAAGACTTGTGGACTTTTAACTCCCAGAATTCCCAAGCCGGCTGGTTGGGGATTTCTGGGAGTTGAAGTCCACAAGTCTTAAAGTCTATCCTGAAAAAAGTACTGCAAAACAAAATTTAAACCATATCAACGTCTGGGATTAAGAGGCGGTGAAACAGCCGTCCCATATGTGGCTGAGAAAAGCTACTCAACAGCGTTCTGACATCTGCTCATCAGCAATTTTAGGCCTGCAGAACAAACCTCTTTGGGGTCATCTTGCTTGATGTCCAGGTCTTTTCCTCCTTCATGGTCATCCACCAGAGAACCTCCGCCCGGCTCCTGGAAAACAGGATCACAGGTAACCAGGCCTCACCATAAGAAGTTGGAAGAGCTGAAGTCCAGTGGCTGGGCTGCTACAAACGATGGGAACTGCGGCCTCCAGCCAGATGGAGGGACGAACTGAAGAAAATTAACGTTGATAATGCGGATATCCTAAAAGCAATTAAATACCTTGGCACTGGCTGCATCCCCTTAGAAAGTTAAAAGCAGAGTGGCATCTGGGATCCATAACAACAGCGGCTCTATGCCAGTGTTTTTTAATCTTGGCAACTTTGCGTCGGGTGGATTTTAACTCCTGGAATTCCCCAGCCATCATGCTGGCTGAGGAGTTCTGGGAGTTGAAGTCCACTGCTCTTAAAGTTGCTGAGGTTGAGAAACCCTGATCTAAGGCAAGATCGAAGGGGCTGAACCAAAGACAGACATCACAGCCCCCCACCCCCTCTCACCCCACCCTGCCAGTCAGCAGGTTAGAGGACATCAGGTTGGGGAAGTTGAATTATGTGCTTTCAGAGAGGGAAGCACAGGCGATTTCCTCTCTGCCTGCTGCCCTGTCTAGCTGGGTCTGCAAACGGAGAGGACTGGCTGCCCTCAAGAGGTGGCTGCTGCATGGCACAAATATTGACACAAAGAGACACACCTTCAGTACTGACGGCTCCGTGACTTTGGTTGGCGACCTAGTGGAGAAAAACAAAGACACGGACTAGATAAGACCAGGAGAAGTAAACCCCCACCAGCCCTTTAAGAATTAAACTTGCAAGAGTCCTTCTCTCCTTCTTCTGTTCGTGGCTCTTGCTTGTTCAGCCTACGCCGGCCCCCGTGGAAGATTACTGCAGTGTCCAGTCCATGACATGCCCTCTGTGGTGAGCACAAGCCCAAACATCCCCCCTTATTCACTGGATCTTTTTCGGGAAGGTTTTCCACTGGGGAGTCCCAAGCAGGGGCCAGTTCTGAAGGTGGCAATTTTATTAGCTTTCATTTTGCTTTCACTTATTTTGTGAACATAAGCCCGTGCCTTTCCCAAGTCCCTTGCTGTGTGCATCCCAGCTGGCTGTCACCTCCGAGGCTCACAAACAGAGCCAGCCCCACTGCTTCCTTGCCCTGTTGGGGACAGAGCTGTGTGGCCTCTGAATGCAACATGTCTACCTTTCAATCAATCAGAATAGAGCTGGAGGGGACCTTGGAGGTCTCCTAGTCCAACCCCCTGCTCAAGCAGGAGACCCTATACCATTTCAGACCAGTGGTTGCCCAGTCTCTTCTTAAAGGCCTCCAGTGATGAAGAAACTACAACTTCTGGAGGCAAGCCATTCCACTGGTTAATTGTTCTCCCTGTCAGGAAGTTTCCCCTTAATTCCAGGTTGCTTCTCTCCTTGATTACTTTCCATCCATTGCTTCTCATCTTGCCTTCTGGTGCTTTGGAAAATAAGCTGACCCCTTCTACTTTCTGGCAGCCCCTCCTATACTGGAATTTCCCTGCACTGCATTAGGAGGACACAAGAGTCCAGACTGACTTCTGACAGCCCAATGCTGCTGGACCAAGAGTGACCAGGCCTAAAGCCATCCCAGCCTCTGGGAAGAGGTGATGTGGAACAATGCGGTGTTCTCTTGGCACGGATGGGAGCCTCTGACCGTAAAAAGCTATTTCAGAGATTAGATTTCCCTCAACCTCTTTGGCTAAAGCAGCAGTAATAGAGCAGCAATAAACCACCCTGCAGGCTTATTTGTGCACAAGGAGGCAGAGAGCACAGCCAAGAGAGGGGAGTTCTCCTGAGTACCCAGGGTGAGCGTTGCTACAGAGGATTATAAGACCAGAACTACAAAGGCATGGAAACAGGTGTCATGCACAGGCCTTATGTGTTCATCCTCCAAATTGTATCCCATCTGTTCAAATTAAACACTGAAATCTCTTCAGGAGTGACCCATAAAGTTTCTGGCTACATTACCGTACACAAATTCAGCTTTAACAAAAACAAGCTGAAAAGTTCGAAACAGAGTGTTAAACTAAAGTTACAAGTTATACACAATTCTATAAACACACCCAAACATTTTATAAAACAGTGCCTTCAAGAAAAAAAACACAAGCCTTTTTTTTTTTTGCACCAATATAGAAACTCCTTCTCAAGACCACACAAAACATAGAAATGCTTTCTCTTATCCTTTTTCTCTCTGCACTCTTGGTTTTCACAAAAAAGAGACGTGGCCAGAAGTGAGTGGGGCTACCTCTAGCAGGAAGACAATGAGCAACAAATCAGGTTGCAGATCCTGAAGTCTAAGATAAGGCTCAGGAAAGAACCAGCCAGAGCAACAGCTGGCTGCAGAAAAGGATTTGCTTTCAGTTTTTAGAAAGTGCATTTAGCTGCAGCTCTAATTTGGTTTAAGAGCTCTTTGAAAAAAAAAAATGCTGATTTCAAATCTGCTTCATTAAAGCAAATATGAATCACCCCTCCTCTCCTGCACCCTGGAATTTTTGAAGCTGAAAGCAACAATTGTGTGTGGAAGAGGCTTATTCAGCACTATGCGACTTTCCATCAGACAGTATAGTGCAAGGGTCTGCAACCGTGACAACTTTAAGACTTGTGGACTTCAGCTATGCTGGCTGAGGAATTCTGGGAGCTGAAGTCCACAAGTCTTAAAACTGTCAAGGCTGCAGACCCCTGGTCTAGTGGTAGACAAGGGCCCCTCTTTGAGCTACCCACAGCTATTCCCTCCACATCCTCATCAGCAGCAGAGAAAGACTCTAATTCACTCATCCTGAACAGCTCAACATCTTGCTCTGAGCAGCTGATCAAAAGTATCGGGCTGTTTTCCAATCACCTGCCAGAAGAGACTGACTTAACACAGAACAAGATCTACCCACAGTGGATCTCTGGGTATGGTGGTTTTGTTTATTTCCCTTCTTGGGGAAAAATCTCTGGGTTGGAGAAAACATGAGTGTAACCAGGAAAAGGATAAAAAAGGAGGGTGTGATGGATGCCTGGCCGAGGGATTCTGGGGATGGGCTTGTGTCCAGAGAGGTATAACGTGCAAAAGCAGAGAAAAAGGCAGAGGAAGAAGGGAAGCAAAAATGCAAGAAATGAAAAAGAGGGCTTGTGGAGCAAAAGCAAGTGCTGGGAAGTCTCTTCAAGGTGTGTCTGCCCTCCCACAAGGAGGCCAGAAGGGACAGGAGGGAGGGGACACCTAAGGGCGACTGGAGCTCTCCTGGTGAAGACAAAGGAACAATCAGATCTCAGTAACTTTAAGATGTGTGGACATAAAATTCCAGATTTACCCAGCTAGCTTGGGAATTCTGGGAGTTAAAATCCAATTTCTTATATTATGTTAGGTCTGGAATCAAAGTCCATGTCTCTTCAAACTTGTTGCTCCGGAATTCTGGGAACTGAAGTCCACAAAGGGAAGAAGGATGGAAAGCGGATGCCAGGAGGGCAGACCCCTAAAGGCAAATGAGGGCTGCAGGGGTGGCGATTGGCCTCTGCACCGGGGCGAAGGTGCCATCCAGCTGGCGATAGTGGGGTTGGGACCAAGAGGTGATCAAGGCTGCAGGGGCACAGAGCGGGTGCAGCCGGGCCCCTTTGGTGGAGGGGGGGTCCTGGGGACTGCTGCCCAGGTGGAGATCTTGGGGGGAGAGGGGGAGAAACAGGGCCAATCTACGCCTCCCGGGATAAGGCGGCAAGATTCAACTGGGGTCGGTTCCGGGGACCAGAGCTTTGGTCTTCCCAGCCTTCGGACTCGTGCTGGGAACTTCTCGGCGGCGGCGGCGGCGGGGTGTGGGGGTGGAGACGGTACATGGGAGAGGCGGCCCAGGGCAGTCGCGGCCCGAACCCTCCTGGAGTGGATGGGGGAAGCCCCACCCGCCCCCTCTGGCCGGGGCTTGTGGTGGGGAATTCCTGCCAGGGGGCGGGGGGGGAGCCCTGGAAGGAAAGCGGCTCCGCTCGGCGCCGATCCGAACCGAGGCTCCCGCGGGGCTGGGCAGATAGGCCCGGGTTCCGCCCTCCCTGCCGGAGCCTAGAGACGCGGGGCCGACGGGGCGGCTGGTGCCGGGCGCCCCGCTCCCGCCACCCCCCGCGAGGAGGACCGAGCGGCGCCCCCCGGCTCCCGACCCCCCCGGGCGGCCGACTCACGGTGCCGGGCTCCCGCCGTGCTGGGCCACGTCCTCGGACGCGTCGTAGAAGAGCTCCTCGGTATCCGAATCGGACGCCATCGCGGCGCCGTCGGGGAAGCGACAACGGCGGAGCGGGCTGGGCCGCGCGGAAGTCTCGCGAGAGCCGGCGAGGAGGCGTGGCCGGAACCAGCTGGGCTAGACAGAGGCGCGGTAGCGGAAACGCCCTCCCACGCACTTCCGGCGGGCGCGTCCCGGAACTCCTGGCCCGTGGGGCCCGGCCGCCGTTGCCTCTTGCCCTCGCGAGAACTCGGCCGGAGGCAGCTATGGGGGGGGGGGAGAAATTGGCAGCCTGACGCGAAGCTGAATCGATTTGAAAACATTACAAGTGAAGGGAAAGCCAATTGACTGGCCGAGAGCCAGTCTCGCGGCTCATTGCGCTCGAGTTCCCCCGTGCTTTTACTCCATTTCACGACATGGTTACAGCGGGGTCTCCTGCTCGAGCATGGGGCTGGACTAGAAGACTTCCGAGGTCCCTTCCAGCCCTATTCTGGTCGGTCCGCTTGAATTGCCCTCCACTATCTTGTTACAGCGCTCCGTGACGTCACTCTAGCCACGTGACCGCGGAAACGGCCTTGAAACGGAGAGGAGTAGAGCCCCTTGGAGTCGGCAAAATCCGCGGAGAGTCCTTTTCCTTCACCTCTGACTGAAACTGTGATTTTCTTTGAATCCCGCGATTTGACTGCATTTGAATTCTTGGGTTGCGCTCCATCTGAATTCGCCTTCATCTGATTTGGCGCTTCACGCGGAGCCCGCAATCGCCTTGCAGCCGGCCACCCCGCACTGGCTCGCCTGTCTGCCTGCTTGCCTTCTCCGGACCGCGCAGGCGCAGTGCTGAATCCGAGCTCGCCATCTTGGTGACGTAAGGGGGCGGGGATCTGGAGAAGGGGGCGGGGCTCCCAATTCCGGCCTCAGGAGGACTTTTGAAAAGCTCCCGCAGCCGCCGCCGCTGAGCGCGAGAGCGGCTGGCGGGCGTCCTGCCTTCGGGTCGCGCCACTCCGGGGGCCTCGGACAGGCACGCCGACGCGGCGGCTGCAGGTGAGGGGCGGCCGAAGAGGCCCCGGGACGGCGGCGGGGGAGCGCCCATGGGGGGGGGGCGGCGGCGGCTTTGTGCTCCCTCAGTGACCGCCTGGGGGCGGGATCGCTGGCGCGGAGGGAGGAGCGCACGAGCGCGCCTCGCTGATTGGCTGCCGGGAGCGCGGCGGCAACGCCATTGGCTGGCGCGGGAGCATTGGGCGGTGTCAGGGGTGATGTGGAGCGAGGGTGCTCGCGCGCTTCAGCTTCGGCGCCGGGACGACTACGAAGCCCAGCACTCGCAGCCCAGGCAGGCTCGGCAGTTTAGGACATGTTGTCCCAACTGACATAGGGGCCCAGGTAGGGATTCCCCGGGGGCTGGGCTTAATTGGGGTGGGGGCTGCTCGGCTTGCCCGTTATGGCCGATACCTCATTGGGGGGGGGGGTCTTCGTGAGGCCTGGGACGGGCAGGGGGAAGAGGGAGGCTGGTTCCAAGGGACTTGGTGGACCATAGTGCTGTGCCCGAGTCTGAGTGTGGCTGAGAGGCAGGAACGGGAAGTTTGCCCCCCCCGCCCCAAACAGGCTGCAGTTTCAAATGAGGTTTCCCAGCTGAGGAGGAGGAGAAACCCCGCAGTCCTCCACTTACGACCTCAATTGAGCCACAAAATTTAAGTGAGAAATTTGTTAAGTGAGTTTTGCCCCGTTTTACCCCTTTTCTCCCCACATTTGTGAAGTGAATCCCTGCAGTTCTTCAATTAGTCACAAGGTTGTTCAGTGAATCTGGCTTCCCCATTGACTTTGCGTGTCAGAAGGTCGCAAAATGATCCTGGGACACTGCAACCGTCATAAATGTGAGTCAGTTATCAAGCATCGGAATGTAAATCGCTGGACCATGGGGATGCTGCAAGTGTGAAAAACGGTCCTTTTTAGTGCCATTGTAACTTTGAACGGTCAGTAAGTAAACTTGTAAGTCAAGGACCGCCTGTATTATGGGATGAAACGTGCCGTCCCTTCCTCTTCCAGCCCACCCCAAATAAAGTTAAAATGCAAATGAAAAATTCAGTGGGGAAGGTGGTGGTTCCAGCCTTTATCCACATTTAAAAACCTCCTATAAAGATAACAAATGTAAATAAAGGGATGGTGATTTTAAGCAAACCTCTCAGCTGCTGGGTATGACTAAAGCCTGTTGCAAAGTTTGTTTGTTAAATTTATTTGATGCTTTGGAGAAAGGAGAAAAGGGCTTTACCATTATTAAAGAATGTTACTGTTGCTGTGATTAATTGTGATTAATTGTCTTTATAATCCATGCTCAACATTCCGGATTTGGGGTGAGGGGATTATGGCTGAGAGAATGATTTTCAAAAAGCCAGGCTCTGGCTGAATTGCATATTTGATAAGAGATTTCTTGGGATAACCAAAAGTCAGTTTTGTTTGTAAACTTTAGTTGGTTTAACTGTTATCAGGCAGTCCATTCTGGCTTCTTCAATAAATTAAGGTAAAAACAAACTAACTTTAACATGTTAATGGAAGCTCATTCCGTTAAACCGAGCTAGCCACTGCTCTGTGCGGAGGAAGTTTTCTTCCTTTAAAATATAGAAATCCATTAAGAAGCTGGGCAAACCAGAATTGTGCATAGTAATTAAGCAAGCACTTGGAAAAGTATTAAATGGAGCTGTGCCCCTTTTGCCAAGTTCTAAAAAGTTGCTCAGCAACTTCACTTTCTCTTTGCCCCCCTCCTTCCCCCTTTGAGGGTGGAGACAGAACCTTCCCATTCAGTCTGTACTGGGGAATGTAAGTCTTTCCTGGCATTCATTGATCCCTATGGGAGGTGGGGAAAGAACTGCATTTTGAACTTTCTTTCATGAGAGAAAATCAGGAGTCTTGCAAAATAGGCTCTGTTGAATTCTTTCAGGGAAGACTGCTCTGCTAGCCAAAATTTACTTCCTTACAGAGTTCACCCACACACACACACCTTCTCACGGATGGATGCTATATGCAGCCACAAATAAATAAAGTAGTAAATAAGGCAAGTAAATAAATACATGTGTAAAAGTTGTTGCCAAAGGGAGATAATGAAATGAACAAGCACGCACTGTACCAAAATGAAAACAAACAAAAAGAAGCTATTTTGCTGTGTTTCTGATTTTACATGCTTCCGTACAGAATGTTGCCATGTGGTGTGTTGTGTCTTGCCAGAAGCAGCATGTAGAAATGCATGGGGTGACCTGGGAAATCTACTAGCAAGGGTGTGATATAAATGCTGTATGCCTGGTTATAATATTGGTGAATCAGAAGTACATGGTAGATTATAAACCTCCCCATCTCCAGGAGGGCACAATCGTACTGAATGACGGGAGGAATTTAGTATCTCCTTCCTGGCACCGCTACAGAAGGGCCCCAACCTTGTCAGAGTAAAAGCTTTTCTATGACCCTCATAAAAGAGTAATGTTAGCTCCTAGCAAACACCACCATAGCCTGGGAATTGTATAAAGGAAGTTTCTCAATAGCCACAATTGAGGTAGTGGACAAGTGGGCTTTTAATATATTTAAGAGGAAATAGTTGGCTTGTGGTTAATTACAGATGATGATTGTATTGTCTCATGATTGCTCAGTATATTTGGTAGATTCCATAATGCAGTAATTTCTTAGAATCACCAGCTCCTTCTCCTCCTCCTCCCCCTTCTAAAGCAGAAGACTTGTGCAGTTAAAAGACTCTTTCTCTTTTATAAGAGGTACTTTGGTTTTTTCTGATGGTATTGCACATGTCACTTTCTGAGTGGGGGCAGGTACTTGGGGCCCAGGAGGAAGACTCTCGAATACAGGTCTTTTTTGACATCCCAGCAACACAGCAGTTCTACTAGAGCTGATGGCAGCTGGCTGGTAGATCTCCACTGCCAGAAATCGGAGCTTAAATGTTCTGGCTGGCGTTCCCAATTTTCTCCTCTTAAATCACCCTTAATTTCTCTCGCTTCCCTTCTTTCATTTATTAGTGGATATTTTTTTCTCCCACCTGTTTTTCCTCCTCTTCCAGCACAGACCCCTACAGACATTTGTTTTGAAGATCCAATGAGCAATTTGATGAGCCACAGTATGAAGGTGATTTTGTCAGCACAGCAAGTTGTGGATACAAAGGCCTAATTTCACTTGCTAGAGTGCTAGAGTATCTTGTGCTAGAGTGAAGTGATCCTACAATGTAATAGTTGGAAGGGAGCAGCTACTCCACCCTCTGCCCAGTATAGCTGATAAGGTGACAACCTTAATGAGTTGTCTGGTCTGGGCGGTACAGTGCTGCGCTGGGCCACCATAGTGCCCACTTGGACATCCAGCTGCAAGATCCTTGCATGGATAATTGTGCACTGCACATGCCAGGAGAGATTCTGTGCATCGTGCAGCAAGGTCTTGCCTCCTGGGGTTTCCTGCACTGAGAGCTCCAGCCACCAAGGTTCCGCTCCGAGACTCTTGATTCTCTGGTGGCAGAGAATTCCTTTCCAAGTTTACTCCTCTCTTGCTGGCATCCTTCACTGCTTGCTACGTGCAGCTCCTTTGAGGTACACTCTTCCTTTTAAAATGAGGGATGGTAAATCAATTGGCGTCATCCCCTTACAAGCCCTAAGCAGGCTTGGAGGAATGAGTTACGGCTTGAAATAAGAGGCTGGCGTTTTCCGTTGATCTCAGTGGAGACTCGTATCTCCTGCGCTGATATGGCAGGTGGCCGTTGTTTTTTGGTGTGTTTATTGCCATCATGTGTGGGGAAGAGGCAGGACTGGGAACGAGAAGGCGATGTGCCTGAGATGAAATATTGGGCTCAAGCACCGTTTTGGGATTCCATGAGTTCTGCCTCTCTTTCCTTCCTGAACCCCTGTAAGGTCAAGTCATCTCACTGTTTGACTGGGGAGCATAACCAGCGTATACATAATGCACATTGCTGTGCAGTATTTTGGGACTGCGTGTCAGGATATCTAGCCAGCTTGTTCAGTCCTTATTTTGGAAGTATATGGCAGAATATTGTTTATTTAACTCCTTTATGGTAGAATCTATTCCTCAAGGGCATTACCTGGAAAATCTGTTACTTTTGAGAAACAGCTACGTTTTTAGCTGCAATGGA